CGTAACTTCGCGCTGTTCGTCAGTGTATGCCTCGAGTAATCTATGTTTGCTCGTCCTGGGATGGCTGGTCATCTTATCATGAGTCATCATATCGCCAGGCCTGCAGGGCTCTCATAAAAATAACAAGGTTCGCTTGTTAATGTGTGTGCTACTCACCAGTTTAGGTTCGCTCTGATGAGTCTTCTCGTCTTTCTTCGCCAGATCATTCCCAATACCGTTAGCTTAGATCCAGAATAGACTGAATTATTTATTGCTTGAAATCAATCGATCACCCAAGGTTCCAACTCAAGATCGTGTTCAACGCATTGCCACAAAGTCATGCATTTTTTCTAGGATATTAGTGGTGGGGCGGCGGGGTATATACGTATGTGCGGTGTCATGGGTATCCAGTCTAGCTTTCAGACAATGCAGGCTTGCGGCAAATTGCGAGATACATGGGTGTGAACAGCTTCAAACAAATCATGAGCCCTCGCTAGACATCTAAAAAAGCGTGCTTCAACTCACTTTGGTCTGGCCACCCTTCACAAGTGCATCGGCAGCGACCTTGAGGGATTCGCCAACATCGTATGTGCCCTTGGGCAGAAGACCAAGTATCTCCATGAACTTGATTGCGGTGTGTGAAACGAGCTTTCCGCTCCAGCTCATCCGCCAAACAGTGAAGCAATCCCAAGCAGTCTGGGCCTTCCATATATCGCCTTCCAGTGGGTAATACCATGGAACTTCATCAGGGCGTTCGGCGAGATCCTCTTCATGCTCAATGGAGAAGCCAACTTTGACCATAGCTTCGCGGGCTTGCTTCAAGGGACGCATTTCTGGGATACCGTTGCCAAACTCGATGGCATGCGCAAGTTCCTTGTGTGCAGGAATGGATGCATCCCACGTGTCAGTCATGCACCATTCATAGACACCGAACTACAAACTGATGTCAATATATTGAAACTCGGAGTCGAAAGCTAATCATACCACTCCTCCAGGCTTCAAAACCTTCATGATTTCACCATACACACCCTCCCACGTAGGTGCATGGACAGTGGCTTCAATGGCGTACACTGACATTAATGCCGTTAGGATTCAATGATTTTTGGAAGCCTGCAAAAACACTCACCAGCATCGAACGAGTTCTCTCCGAACTGTTCCGACAGTTTCATGAAATCACCCTTGGCGAAGCTCACTTGGTTTTCAAGGCCAGCCTTCTTAGTGTACTTTCGAGCACGCTGAATCTGAAAATCGTTGTTGTTTAAGCCGACAATATTGACGTCGGCGAAGCGTGCAATCTCGCGTGCAGGACCACCGACGCCGCACCCGACGTCCAGTACTCGCATGCCAGGACGAAGTCCCATTTGTGCTGAGAGGTAGTGCTCATGACGGGCTAAAGAGGCTACGAAAGCCTCGCCTTTATAGAACCGCGAGAAGTGGAAGGACTGCGCCCAGCCATACTCGTACAGCTCTGTTGCACCATCATAGTAGCCTGTGTTTTCTGTCACTAAAAGCCATTCGCAACAAAAATTGTGAGGTAATACCGTTTACAACGTCGGTGTAGCTCTCAACACGGTTTTGATTGTCCGTCTCCCCCTCCTTACCAAAGTCCTTTTGCCAGAATTTGGTATAGTTCTCAACGCGCTTCTCTTGACGTCCGTCGGAATACTGAGTTGAAGTCATGTTGTCTGCAAGAAAAAATTGGATGAATATCGAACACTTCCTCAAGGAAACGAGCCTTGGCGACAAGAACAGAAGGTGTCAAGACTTACTTGGAGGTGAGTTAGAATGAAAGTTATGGAAGGAACGGACAATAACACTGAGCAACCAACTTGGACGAACTTGAAAGAGGCCTAAATTTTTGTAGGTCGCACGAGCTTCTAGCGCAGTATCGGTCCATTTTCTGTTCACGTGACTACTTCATTAGTTGCGCAGCGCTGACCCGGTTAGATTTCCAACATCCATACTACTTGCTCACTGTAGCGCTGGTCATGACAATATTAATATTACATTGTAAGTCATTACACATATAGCCCATAATCTTTTGACCTTCATTGTATTCCTTGCCAAGAACTTGCACAGCTGCCATCTCATGATACTGTGACCGCTCCTTCACGCCAAGTTCACTGTCAAGCTTAAAATTGTGTCGGGTGTATTCCTGAGCTTCACACCGACATCTCTTGCTGCCGGCCTACCCGTCGCCGCGGCCTAAGACATGTCCAAACGTACTGGAATTGATTGTTCTCCCAAGAGACGGTTCGTCAAATCATCAGTCAACCTTTTATATAGCCTTTGATTCTCGCGAGTGCTACATTTTGATTCTTTTCCTGTCCGAAGCTATCATGATTGGTCGCTCGCTAGACCCAGCGACGTTCATCGCACGATTATCGTCTACTTCAGGGAATTGGGTTCGGGCTCATCTGGAATGGGTCGAAGACTGCCGGCAAAACTCTCGATGGTAAATGTGGGCCAAGTAATAAATGAAAGTCCAACTCTATGATGGCGACCTCGCCATGGTACACGGCCGTCATTCGGTCACATGAAAATTCCCCGTTACAGTCTAATCGCTTGGTAGTCAGCTTCCCAGGACCCGGCATTGACAGCATCTCAAAATATCCCGTGGGCAATTCCCAATCCATACAGAAATCATAACCAGCCCGTCCTGAGAACTCCTCGAGGACTTATGGACTTTCGGACGCCATATTCATCGTGCCCCGGGATTTGGCACGCTCCAAGTCCATGCGCTGAGGTACGCAGGTTTAACTACTGGGTCTTTTGCTGATTGTCTTCACAAGGTTTTCTTTACGTAGTGTGCGAGTGTCGACGGCGGCAACGTGCGCTGTGTACTTGTGGGGTGACATGGTGGCGTGTTCCCGCACCTAATAACCACGGATCTCGGGCTTATCTCGGGTTGGGGCCGGAATTGTAATGAAAGGAGTATGTGTGGGCCGAGGTGAACGGTGGTCAAGTGACTCGGCGAAGTTGATGGTATACCCCCATTACATTCCATGATGGTGCTTTAGGTCGATAAAAGCACTATAAAGTGATGGGTGAGGGATGAGATAGAACATGAGGCGCCCGATCGCTCCTTAGAAGGTCAACTACCCCCGAAGGTATGGCAATTAATGACAAGTTGGAGCATCTATGTCATGTCTGTTATAAGTTTAGAAATACGAGCCGAATCATTGCCGTGTCAGTCACACACTAGCTAGACTGGTACTATGTAGTTCTAGTACCCATGCTTTATAATTCTTTCCACTTGACCTCGCACCAACCAGCCAGTTTTGTGTAAGTCTCGATGGTTTGCTTTCTGATTGACTGCTATCGCAACACTCACCGAAGTGTAATCAGGATCTGACAGCTATCCAAACTCGTTCCGTTGCTTAATATTCGTTGCTTAATTCTAGACAACCCTGTCCTGCCAGGTCCGATACCTGCCGCCGCAGTGAAATAAGGAGCGCCCACTGCTATCTCTAAGCCTCTCACATCCTCACAATGGACAAGCCTCGTCTGCAACCTGCAATACCGTTCCAGGTATGATCTCACCTTTGTCTCCTGTCGGTTCAGATATGAATCAGGCCGTCGTGTTTCAGGCTCGTGCAGCACAACTTCTCAAGAAGCTGAACTCGCGGTTGAGCTTGGGAGGTAGCCGCTCAAAAGATAACATGTCTACCCGAGTCGTTCCATCCGTCCCAAACAACGACCGCTCACACATACCCTCTCCTGACGTTCTCCGCAAGCCAGATACATCCACTCCTAGCCTTACAGGCTTACAACTAGATGATGCTTTCAATCCCATGGACACGGATGATTCATCGTCTAGCAATAGCCCCACCCGCCAATCAGGGCGTTTCTCAGCTTGGGACGGTCTCACACAATCCTCTGTGAGCCCGGTGTTCGCGGGGCATGGTCCCGCCCCATTATTTTTACGAGAGATAAAGGTCTCGAGGAATGCTTCTGATCAGTCTAGCAGTGATGGGAAAAATGTCCTCGCTCCAGCACCATTCTTTTTGTGGTCTGGCGCGTCAAGGGACTGCCTTACACGTGCATCACATGATGTCTTATTACACTCAACGACCCCGAGCAACGTGCCAGATATCATAGTCTTACGAGATGCATCTCCTGTACCAGACAAGATGCCGCAGTTGGAAGGATCACAAACTCCACGACAAACGAAGGAACCCGTTCCTTCTAACGAATCAATCATGAACACAGACATGTCCAACTCATCTGTCGAACCAGAATCTGCTCAAATACCTTTCTCATCTGCTATCTTGGTTTCACCTGCTACACAATCTTTATCCTCGTCCAGTATCCAAGGTTATTACTCAACAGGGACACAGCCGACGACAGCCCTACCACCTCCATTCCGCGTTGCCACTGAGCGTGGCCTCCGTCTATCTCCTTCTATTATCTCAAGGCATCGTATGCCAATCTTGAATCTTCCGACTTTGCCTGTGCCTACTCCTGCTACCGAGACCGCTGTGCGGCCAGTTGTCCGTCTCCGGCAAATGCCATCATTAAGTGTCCACGGACGACCTGACGTCGATCCAGAGCCAGACTCTGCTATCGAATATGAGGACGATGAGGACGTGGAGGAGGACGACGAGGGTGATGGAGACGAGGGATTGAGAAATGAAGACTCAGAGCACCAGAGCGACGAAGACGGTGATGGGGAGGAAATGTCGAGTTTGGGTACAGGCCATTCTTTATCTCATTCCCCGCTGCGAGAGTTTCAAAGCCAAATTGCCGACTTGGCTCTCCCAGTCGCTGGTCATTCTTCTGGACCCTTTGCCTCGCCGTCTTCAGCAGGGGGGTCTATTCCCGCTCCCCACGATGCTGTTGATGATTTCTCGTCCAAGGCATATGGGAAGCTCCCGGACTTGACTCCGAGGCAAGATGTCCCTACGGCTAAACCTTTCTCTCAGAAAACATCTCTCGGAGAGTCTATCAATGTTCGGCGGCGAATAACGCCTACGCCTTCGCTTTATCGTGCACAACCTTCCCTGGAGGTCAGCCGCCCGCCAAGTCTGTATCGCGCGCCATCTCGCAGTATGGTTGACCTGAGTGTGTCCCGGAGAGACTTGAGCAAAAAGTCACGTGACACAGTGCATTTGAATGTACCTTCCGTGTCTGATCACACCGTCGAATCCGTTGAGAGCGATAACACGGACAATGTAATGGGAAGGCTTATGCGACGCACATCCATGCCTACTTTCACCTCCACCTCGGACCCACCTCCGTATCCTTCCTTTGACCCGCGCCCGCCGAAGAGTGCACCTCCATTTCAATTCCACGAGGACGAAGGTCGCGAGCGCTTGCCTCCATATAGCAATTCGCTGTATCTCAGCGCTATCATGCCGCTCAAAATGGAATTCAGTACTCCTGGTATCCAGGCAAAGGACAGGAAATGGAGACGTGTGTTCTGCGAGCTTGAAGGGACAGTACTCCGTGTGTACAAGTGTCCTCCCGGCGCGAGCGGGGCGGGCATCATTGGCGAGTGGTGGGAGAGACGTGTCGGCGTGGGTGACCTAAGTAGCGGATATCATGCGCCGGTGCGGAAAGGGAACGAAAGTCCAGCGCCCTCGTCGAAAAGAGGGGAGGAGAGCCCGATGCCTCCTTCGAAAATAGCGGTCGATCAACCGGTTGCATCCTCGTCGAGTTCCCCCCCTCCCACACCACTCAGGGCGAGGAGCGAATCGCAATCATCAAGAGCTACGAATCAATCCACGACTCCTTCGATGTTGCGTGCCAATAGGAGGCTGTCCGGTGCCAGCTTCCTGACCCCGTGGCGGCACAATGGCCCATCGAGCGGGCCGCAATCGCGAGGAAGGGGTATGGTATCTCCTGGTACAAATGGGGGCATGGAGCTACTCCCAGTGACTGAGCCGAACAGCCGTCGTAATTCTGTGTCTAGTTCAGCTTCACAGGAGACGGCTTCACAAAGGACATCGCCTGTGACACCACGAGCTCCCTCTCGCCTGAGCTTCCTTTCATCGAGGATGCAATTGCGGGGCAGCGAAATACAAAAGCCTGGGAAAGGCGATTTGATCCGTGCATATACCCTCCAGCACGCGGAGAGCGGCCTCGGGAATGATTACTTTAAGCGAAAGAACGTGATAAGGGTACGATTAGAGGGGGAACAGTTTCTCTTGCAGGCAGCAGATGTACCTTCCGTTGTGGAGTGGATAGAGGTGAGTTCTATCATGATGTATGAGTGAGGCGGTTTAATGTTGATCGTGCATGCAGGCTTTCCATGCGGGCACAAACATCGCACTTGACCTTGATCATCGTGTCATGCCCAAGGGGCCGATGTTCCCGAGGTGTGTTTTTTTTTGCTCGGTATTGTATGTTTCTCAAATGTATACAGGCGTCGACGGAGAAGGAATCGACGACCAGCCGATGAGAGCACTCAAGCTCAAGCTGGTAATGGAGTAGTAATCCCTGCAGTTGTGCTGTAACGTGCCTCGTTTGTGTGTTTCTTATGTTAGTATCTGTTGTACAGTACTTGTGTTACACTATGGCACTCTTTGGATAGGTTGTATCTGGGTTGTATTGATAGTATCCCTTGTTGCAATTGTACTGTCGCACTCTTTTTTCTTGTTGATAGAGAAAGTTCACACGGATTGTTCCCGTTTTGAGCCGAGGTTCGGTATTTGCCTTGACACCGATCTGCTCATCCAGGTTGCTTGTTATCTGGATCCTTGGTGTTTTCCCTCATCGATATTCTCATTTTATCTTTTCTTTACCTGGTTCTGGCAGCCATCGTCAGCTCAACGACTATCCCTCTCCAAATCTCACAAGCCGTTCAAAAAACGCTTTAAAAACCAACTCTACAGCGCCGAAAACGATCTTCCTTCTCGCGGTTATTTCGCCCTTTTTTTCTCCTCATACCATCATCCTTCACGTCAAGTCCAACGTACTGAGTACATTCAGTTAGACCAGTCATGGCAGATTCGCAGACGGAGATCGATCTGGACTCGGTTATTGACCGCTTGTTGGAGGGTGAGTGGCTCGTGCTCTGACTCGTAGGCTCCTTGGAGAGCAGATTTCGGACCTTGAGGGGCAGGGCGGTGGAAGGAAGGAACATAACCGGTCAGCGTCTGAGGCGGGCTATGCAACGTGGTGCCCACTCTCAGGCATGGGTGAAATGTGGGGCCGCGTGACCACCACAGCAAGCAACCTTGGAAAAAATGATGGGGTGCACATGCCCACAGAAGCGCTCATAGCCTCCCTGCATTTCTAGAATGGACCGCCCGTAATATGTTACAAAGCAGGTGTTAACCGAACTTTTACATCCAGTGCGAGGCAACCGCCCAGGCAAACCTGTCCAGCTACAAGAATACGAGATCAAATATCTCTGCACAAAAGCACGCGAGATATTCATAAATCAACCGATATTGCTTGAATTAGAGGCCCCCATAAAGATTTGTGGTGAGTATCGCTCGGTCCTTGTGGTTTATCGGGATGACTCATTCGGGTCCACCTTCGGCTAGGTGACATCCACGGTCAATATTATGACCTGCTCCGACTTTTCGAGTATGGCGGGTTTCCACCAGAAGCAAACTATCTTTTCCTCGGCGACTACGTCGATCGGGGGAAGCAGTCTCTCGAGACCATCTGTCTCCTCCTCGCCTACAAGATCAAGTACCCTGAAAACTTTTTCATTCTCCGGGGCAACCATGAGTGTGCAAGTATAAACCGAATCTATGGCTTCTATGATGAATGTGAGTTGTGATGCAACTCTTCATGATGGGGCTCTGATGGCACTCACAGGCAAACGGCGCTACAATATCAAACTGTGGAAGACGTTTACGGATTGCTTTAATTGTCTCCCTATAGCCGCTATCATCGATGAAAAGATCTTTACAATGCACGGTGGTCTCAGCCCTGATCTTCAGTCCATGGAGCAAATACGGAGAGTGATGAGACCTACGGATGTTCCTGACACAGGTAGGTGTGCTGTGCATCTTGCATGAATTTGAGTGTCTTACCCGACCAAGGTCTGCTATGTGACCTACTATGGTCAGATCCCGACAAGGATATCACTGGGTGGTCGGAGAATGATCGAGGAGTATCCTTCACATTTGGTCCCGACGTGGTGTCCCGATTTTTGCAGAAACATGACATGGATCTCATCTGTAGAGCTCATCAGGTATGCTGCGCTTTACGGGCAGCGTCTGTACGGGCCCCAACTGCTGTATCACTGACTGACGCCATGGAATTAGGTCGTGGAGGATGGTTATGAATTTTTTGCAAAGCGGCATTTGGTCACGTTATTCTCAGCGCCTAATTACTGCGGAGAGTTCGATAACGCAGGCGCGATGATGAGTGTAGACGAAACCCTATTATGTTCCTTCCAGGTACGATACCAGCTACCCTGCATGTTCTTTGATTGAGTTTGACTTTTGATTCTCAGATCCTGAAGCCTGCTGAGAAGAAGGCTAAGTATCCATACGGAGGGATGAACATGGGTCGACCAGTAACACCACCGCGTAAGCAGAAGAAGAAGGACAGCAAGATGGGCTGAGTCGAGTAGGGCCAGCCATGCCTTCACTCATTCTTCAGTTATCGACATTCCCTCTTATCATTCTGTATTGTTCATTGCTGGTTGTAATTGTGCAGTTTACATTGGCGACAGGGCATGATGTGAAGGTGATCATTGGGTTGATTCACCGATGGTAACAAGATGGCTGAGAATGGGCGAGCTGGCTGCTGCATTGACATACGGACGTTTTCTGGGTTGCCTGTGGAGGGAAATTTCATTGCAAGTACACCCCGCCATGCTACAATTCTTACATATCTATTCACTCATTGGACTAACCCACCCACGGTGCCCTTCCTGTCCATATTCTGTCGATCATGTTCCGTATTGGCCTTCATGTGCTATAGGTTTTTATGCACAATAGCTCATTTTGTCTTGTGCTCCTAATGCTTCACCGCAACTGCCAGATATTCCGTATTTGTTTTTTTTTTCTTTCTTTTTGTCACAGTAAACGTTTGTCGTATATTATGAAATTCTGTACATACTCATTCTGACGTGCGCGGCGTTGAGCGGCTTTCCAAGGCCTCCATGTGAACTCAGTCTTTATCGACCTAGGTCACTCCGATATTGATGCGTGTCCATATGCTACTGACTGCGGGGAACACGCGGGGAAGAGTATTTTTAAATCGAGCCTCGAGCAGCCGAGGACTGGAGCTTATACTAGTTCCAAGTGGTGAAATATATCATATGGTATTACGCCACATATGAATTCATTGGCACAACTTAAACAGACAGACTGAAAATGAGCCAAAGTTATAGTTGTTGTACATACGTAGAAGGCTGCGCGGTGCCACGTTCTGCATAAGGTTATACGTAAGGGAATTAATACCCTTCGAACAAGACGACATCATCCGAATTAATACGCTCAGATAAATTAAACTCTAGGCGCCTCGTTGTCCGCGCCGAAAGATTTTTTCTCCAATGAACCGTCTTCGTACACCTCGTGTTGACCCTCTGCCTTGTTGGCAATCTGTTCCAGTACATCTTCGCCGTCAAAGAGGGCTGCGGTTTCTTCAAGAGTCCTGTTCTTGGTCTCGATGAGGAAGAACCACAGGAAGACGAATTCGACAGCGAGCCAGCAGACGTATACGAGCTAGGCATGACCGTTGAGAAAAAAATTCAAAGTAAGCGTCTACAAATACATACATAGTATTTCCACGATAAGGCGTCCAGTGCGACCGGGTTCACATATTGGTTGAAAATGAGCGCAAGAGAGACGACGAAGTTGAAGACGTTGAAGCCCTTTGCGCGAATGCTGTAAGGCAGAATTTCCACGGTGTAGGAGACAATGAGAGGCGTAAACGCCACGTCGTATGCCGCATAGAAGAGGAAGATGAAGGCGATGACAGCATGTCCGGCGGCGGGGCGACCATGCTCAGCGTACTCAGCGAAGCAGATAGCTTGTGCCATGTAGAAGAGTGTCATTAGAGCTGCTGAAAGCAAGAACAAGAAGCGACGACCGAGTCTGTTGACCATGAATGAAGCGAAAACAGCCCATCCTAAGTTCCATATTTGCAAGATACCATTGATGAGCAGCTGAGTGCTTGAGCCTGTGATACCGATCTGGTCGAAGACCTTTGTGAGGTAGTATGAAACAAGACCGTTTCCAGACCACTGAGAGAAGAAGGCAAGAGCGACGATAATGCGCATGCGCTTCCTATTGCCAGGAGTGGCGATAAGTATCTTCCAACCGACATTGCTGGCAACTAGAGGTGTTCGTGTAAGAGAGTGCAGTGCAACAAGTAAACTGAGACTAACCACTGCGATCATACTCAATGGCAGCCTTGATCTCTTCGAACTCGTACACAACCAAAGGATCCTGCCTGAGAAAAATGCTTCATGATGAAAGTGCGGTCAAAATAATGCGACTCACTCATTACCATCAGCATGATAATAGGCGAGGGTCTTGAGAGCCTCGGCCTCACGACCATTTCTAATCAACCAACGGGGTGACTCAGGTGCAAACAGCACAAGAAAGAATTGCAAGACGGATGGGATACCCTGAAGAAGAGAAGGCAGACGCCATGCCCATGTGCTGTTAATCTTGAACGTGCCATAAGTCGTCCAGGCAGCGCTAATATCAATAATCTCATCAGCGCCCAAGATCCGATGAACGGCTTGGCATGATCAAACTTACATGATAGAACCAGAGTACCAAAGGGAGTTGTAAAGAGATGTCAGGGGAGCGCGGTACGTGGGATACGAAACCTCAGTGACCAACATTGGTGCGGCATTAGCTATACATAGCGTGTTAGTTGATCAATTACTTATACACAAGGGGACTGTGTACCGACCGGCAAAAGTAAGACCAAAACCAATAAGGAATCGAGCACCAATGAACATGCCCACGGACTGAGAGGCAGTCTGTATGGCAGTAGCAATGCACATAATTGTTGCACCGAAGAACACCGTCCTACGACGTCCTATACCGTCTGATACGTAAGGGGCAAATGGGTAGCCCGCTAGGCCACCAATATTCTGCGTGGTCCATTATCAACAAAGATAATCAATGCAGGTACAGAGAAAACCCACCTGAATGGCGTTCAAGAGACCTAGTTTACCGCCAGATGGATAGCCAAAGGCGGACTCCCACTGAGGAAGGGACTGCAGTCCATTCATCATACTGCCGTCGTACCCATTCGTCGAGGAAGTGATGAGACTAAGAAAAGACGTTTAACAAAGGAGTGACAGAACGGACGAAGAAACGTACAGAAGCACAATCCAGGCGTTGAGAGCGATGATTCTATAATGCATTACATCGATCAGAACAAGAAGTATTTAGTAGCAGTGTTTGCTTACCGCCTGTTGTTGTACCATTTCCTCCTCTCATCGATGAGATGCGCAAATGAAGTGTCTTTTCCGCTGACAGCAGTAACCCCACCCATGATTGATCTCTAGAGTGAGATGGTGAAGAAGAGAAAGGTTACGGACATCATTCAGGGAAGCTAGGTTTTATGCACACACTTCAAACCAGCGGACCGGATAAAGTTCGGCAGTCGATAATTCTCCCGAGGTACCCCGCTGTACATGGTCCGCGAGTGTACTTCCAATGAACCATCATAGATCAAGACGGAAAAACATTGACGGTGAGCCTGACAAGTTACCCATGTATTTCGCGGAACATGCCACCATTGGTAACAGCCGGAAATGGAATAGGTTGATACTATTCCCAGCGCTAATGTAGACTCGAACCGCATGTTCATGTTACCCCGCAATACATCTTTCCCTGGAAGTAGGCCGCAGACAGCTTTTTTAGCACATTCTAACTTGAAAACCAGTGCCTTGATCAGGCGGCGTCTGTCGGAAAGGGAGCCTGTCAAGCGGAAGGATCTCCTAGTACTTCGTCAAGCGAGTCGCATCGTTCCACGTAGGCGGCACAAGTAAGACGAACAGACTCGGAGTTGCCAAATATCATGATGCATGATCCTGGATCCGGACAGGACCGACCGTGATTCTTCGTCTCCTTCAGTCAAAATTGCGTGTAAAAATGTTAGGCTACATATAAGAACTGGAATTTAAATTCGAGATAAACTTTATAATATAAATGCGTGGATAAATGGAGGTCAAGTCGCAACAAAATTAATTAAATCATTCCCAAACAATATGGACAAGACTCCAGAGTCAAATGATGGCCATATTGGCGGTATTGCTACGGTCCGCAGTACACTTGAGTACTTAAAAGGTTGAATCTCTGGCTTTCGCAGAGAGATCCTCAGTAAAACGAGTTGAAAGTCGATCCGATCACATGATGCTCTGAGGGCTATCCCGACCAGATTACGATCAAGGGTGAACAGCGATCGCGGACCAACCCTGTACATTTCGGCCAGAGCTATCTATTGAGGTGCGATCTAAAACCGTCTCAGCATATCACTAGCTGACACCTCACTACCCCCGGCTTGATCGCGTACAGGCCCCTCAATGATGGGAGCAGGCATATCGACCTTCTTTCTTCTCCCGAAAGGCACAAAATTGCTGGCTAAGCTAGCAAGTGCGCTGGTAGCGGATGGTGGGCTCGAAAAATTGCTAGACGCCAATGGAGAGGACCGAGGGACATGGTGTGACGTAGTCCGGCGTCTGTTGAGAAAGATGCTGGTCATCCCTTCAGACAACGAGCCCTGTGGAGACGGCGGTCCTTTGATAGTTGAATATTCGTGTGGAGGGGATATTGACGATAAATCATGTTCTGTCAGAGCGGTAGTAGCCACTGCTTTCACAGAAGTGGGGGAAGCAGAGACAGATGCAAGTGGTGGAAGCCGCACCGCAGAGAACCTAGAGGACGAGGAGCCACGAGATGCACGCGAACCTGGACGCAGTGGAGATGGTATGTATGGAGCATGAGTTAATGAGGCAGGCTGTTGCGCATTCAAATCAACTTGTATCGGCGGCGAAGGAGGTGGTGGTGGTGGCAAAGGGGTAGTAGGGGGAGAAACATCCCGCGACAATGGACTTATTTCCATTGAGTTCTCAGGAGGGGCTTGGGCAAGCAGACGAGACAATGAAGATGGACCAGCAACAGGTGTGGAGTTCGCTCTTGCCCTGACGGGGAAGGATGATGATGTGGGAGGTTGTGTAACACTGAAAACGCTCTCAAAGTCAGACTGGGGAGGCGCTGGTGGTGGGCTAGGAGAAGGCTCGGGAGGAATTGAGCTTGTCTTGCGGTCGGTTTCAGGATCCGATAATGCCGAAACCTTTCTGCCAGCAGGTCTCCGCTTATTCATCTGACCTGCTTGAGTCCAGTCTTCCACTTCCAACATATAGTACTTTACCCCGTCGCCTAAACCATATGGATTGCTGGAGGGATCCTGGTCGGGCGTTGAGGACAAATACGACAGTATGAACCATGCCGTACGCACCTTACTATCGACAATACGTTCGGTAATGGATGTTATCCTTGCCACTATCCATTCTCTCGTTTTCAGCTGCTCGCCGAGGTGACCAGTGGCCAAAAGGAAGTAATGTGGGAATGAAACTAGATATCAAGAACAACGTCGGGAGAAGTTTCATCATCATAGTAACATAGATACATACCATTAAACGCCGCCCAAGGTTTTGAAATAGAATTGCGGGTTGGTAGGAACAGTGCTAAATCCCCTTTGGCAAAATTCCGAAAAGAGATCTTGCCCTTTGCGCGCTCTCGATATTCCTTGCATTGCTTCTGCCACTTCCGAATGATAGAACCTGTTCTGCCCACCGCTTCCAAGAAATGATCGTGGTCGAAGGCACGTAGTGATTCCAGGGCACCCAGAAGATCTGATGGATCAATTGGAGGGGGCTCATCGGCTTGCGCACCAGCACTCTGTCCGTGGCGTTGAGTGGATGTGAACGTAGAATCGGCAAGGGACTGTGCATGCTTCGATGAACTGGGGTGACTGGTGAGATTATGCACGAGAGAAAGTGCTTTGCAATGAGAATTTCGGAAAGCAATTGCGACGTCAAGCATCTGAGCAACCAGACGACCACTGTTTTCCAATCGATGCTCGTAGTCAGACTGAGAAGACCGTCCAGCTGTCAAGTCATCTCGGAGGATTCTCTCTATGTGCCTTGCCTCCCGAAGCTCGTGCTCGACCCGCTGAAGCTCCTCTCGCAGACCCATGGCATCTGCGTTGGTTAGCTCGGTTTGTGAGCGTGCCTCCTTCAGTTGCCGTTCAGTGGCTTCAAGCTGTGCTCTGAGCTCCGAGAATTGGTGTTCAAGAACAGCCCTGTCGCCGTCAGCTTCGGCGATGTGATCCCGCATGATGCGATCGTGCTCGTTAGCCTGTACCCGAAGTAATCTATCTTTCTCCAGGTTGGTGTTCTTCAGGGCCCTGTTCAACTCTTCGCATTCAGAACGAGCGGTTTGGATCTGGGTCTCTAAATTTTCCCCTCTGGAACGTGCTGCCTCCAGGTTCCGCAAAGTCGTTCCTTGCTCCTCGACCAGCTGAGAAATTTTTGACGCATTCCTAGCCTCCAAAGCTTTCACTTCCTCCGCTTGCGAACGGACCTGCGATAGCTCCTGCCTCATTACTTCAACTGCACGTGTCTGTTCCGTTGCATCAACGAGTGCTAGAACACGATTCTGTCGCTCTTTTTCGAGGTCTTGGGCCAACTCCAAATTACGGCGCTCCAGTATGCGTCGGGCTGCAACCTCGCTTTCAATCTGCGCTTTGGCTTGGTGCAGCTCACGCTCCAGTATATCCGCACGTTCCCGCTCGGAGTGAAATGTGAGTTCAGTGGTTTGAAGATCGCTATGGAGTCGATGTATTTCAGCTTGAAAGGACGTCCGTTCTTGTTGTGTCATCTTTTCCTGGTTTGCCTGGATTCTTGCAGTTCGTGCAGTTGCTCAGCCAGTTCTTGAAATGCATGTTCGTCCGCTTCTGTTACTGTGACTTACGTGAGTACCCATATTAGAACAAAAATATAAAAATATTGACTTACGCCTTCTGCGTGACGAGGACAGTCGTGATGCCGAGAGTACTTGCACGAAGTTAGCTAGATGTGTCTGGCGATCGATTTTTACTCACAAGAACGCTCAGCGATACGGTCGAACCCAGCTTCCAGATTATCCATCTTGGTTATGAGCTTATTCACTGCACTTCTTGCTTCCTGTATTGAGCCCATCGCCACAGGGTCTGAACTTGACCGCGCCCACGACTCTAGATCACCCAGGACTTGGAGCAACACTGGTATTTCACTATGAGTTTGGCCAATTTGCTGGAGGACAAAACAATACCATCGATGTCATCTCGTTTCAGCGAATACGACGGCTCTTTGCTACCGGAAGGTGAAAAGTCGATGGTCGGTACAACATCATCCATTCCTTTTGTATCGAAGGGCAGTTGACCATGCACTTCCCCTCTATATACCTGTCGGCGCTTCCGCTCGCTTGCACTAGAAACTCGTCAGGAGTTGTAACATAGTATCACAACTGTCATGGACTTACGACAGCTTGGCCATCACTTCCAAAATGCTTTGTGCGCGCTGATAGAAAAAGTGAGCTGCATTTAAGAGATCAGACATGAGGTCACGCAATACTGCGTTGACTGACCAAATTCCTTGCGTCGCACGATCTCAACGACAGTGGCACCATATGCATACAGCATATTATGAAGCCTTTGTATGTGAGAAAAGCTGTTCTTAGCCCTGAATTTGCCTTGCAGGTTAGATAAGGTCGTTGGCAGCTGCACAATGTCGATATTCAAGGCACTGATTTGCCGAAGGATACCGATACATTGCTCGGTATATGCGTTCTACAAAACATCAGTAAGAGCACTTTCATCGACTTTGAAGACAAACCTTGGCTTCGGTAACAGCTTGTACTTCGTTTCGCAGTACACCATCAAGATGTTTCAGCTCTGAAACATGATTATCTTGTTGATGTATCTATGAATCGGACATACCACGAAGAAGGCTATTTGAATCCGTGGCAGGACTCTCAAGAGCTGCCGTAATGTCCGAGGCCTTTTCAAGAATCTCCTGCGCCCGACGGCCTGAGGCGTCCGCACTCTCTAGAATTCTATGAAGGAGTGAGATAGACAGAATATCATAGGATAAGGAACACCAACTGCGTATTCATTACTATTGCGCGTACAGAATCAGTTCCGTTCGTTAATCTGGCCGCTGACTTCTCAGCGTCTTGGAACTGAGCCCGAAGGTCCTCTAAACCCACAACATAAGAATGCCATCCCAACTCTTTTTCAATTACGTACCATGCGTCCTCGCACACGCGTCAGCGACCTGTTTCATCTTCACATTCGATACATAATCACCCAGCGTCCTCGGTCGCTCTCCGTTCTCAATCGCGGTTCTCACAGCAGGCGACAAAAATTCGATATGTATCTTCACGCGGCTTATAATTTCCAAATCCGCATCCAGACCAGCAAGGAGCGCAGCCTGACGTTCGAGGTCCTTACGGGCCGTCATAGCGATGCCATCGAAGACGTCAGCTATAGCGAGAACGTTCAGTTCGAGGCTGCCTGATGCAATTCGAGCTGCTTGATGTTGACGATGAAGGGTGGCTACGGTATGGACGACGTGTTCGAGGTGCGTGTGTGCTGTGCGAATGTAAGATGCGGCGAGTTGTGGAGGTCGATATGGAGGAGTTGTAGAAATTGAATCTACGATACTTTGCTGACGTCAAAATATCAAGTATGGCTCGAGCGACGCACCTTCAATCGGAGGTTGTAGAGGTGGGTTAACCCTTAGCTCGTGAAGCACGTCGTTTAAGTCAAAATCCAAATAATACTTGTTGAAAACATAGATAGTCTGTTCATGGGGTTGATGTTTTCCGTGTTTGCAGTGAGAATACGACTTGCCTGGTCAGGTGCACCCACTAGCTCACGAACATTGTCGGTACGCAAGCGCGTGCCATCGGAAAGGTAGGCCAAGATAGCGTCCTGATCAACGCCCGTCTCCTGATTCAAGAATGCCTCTAGGCTTCCTCGCCTGTAAAACAACCGTTAGTGCGGTGTAAAGCTGAGCTTGGGTATAGACTTACCTCTCAATGTCTCGTAAGTTAGCATTGACCTGTTGTTTGACGTAAGTGTTGCGGGTCTATGCCACCGAAGAGTCTGGTGCAACATACCTGATATGATTCGCCGTCTTCTGCACGGCATATCTGAATCATTATCCTGGTGTACTGACAATATTATGGTTCGACGTTATGATGCCAGCTGCCGACTCGGGAGCAGGCAAAGTGGCACGGCCACATGATGTAAACGCTCCCACTAAGGGAAAACTACCCCTAACCATATGATAGCAGAAAATTTGTCCATTGTGTCTATTGCTCAATAATACAAGATGTGAATATAATTTAGAAATACCCGTCTATATACCCTGTCCTGTCGTTGAATCTTCCTGATGTATATCGCTTTCATCTGCAGTTTCTATCGAGACAATCCAATATAAGTCACCCGTGGGCTGCCCGTCACTGCGTTCTCCGTCTTCTGGCTTTCTCCGTTTGCAACAAACAAACCTAACAGGATGTCTATCCCAGTACTTCATGAGATCGAATGTCATACCACCTGAAATCCTTAAGGCAAGGGTCGGTTTGAATTGCAGATACCCATAGCAAAAATCTGTCGTGATCAGATCCTGAAGGAGCTGTCAGTAGACAACGGTTAAAATGATGAACGACAATACCTCAGGTCCAAATACAATCTCTTGTCGATGTTGAGGACTGCTAAAGTATGACCTGCGTTCGCTTGTAGTCCGTAGATCCAGCGCACGACCAAATATCCTCCCTTTCTTATTCTTCTTCATATGTGCTTTTTCAAGAGGCAACCTAAGTGAATTATTTGACGAGACGCCCAATGAACCAGGCATTTTCGGCAAACTCGAGAGGTTAGATGAAGATGAGGCAATTGATAATGACGGGGATGGTGTCACAAACGTAGAATTGGACGAGTATGGGGTCAAATACGTAGAGCTAGAAGAATTCGATGACGCAATGGCAAATTGCAACTGTGAGGTATCCTCGCCTATTGATCGTGAGGGTGGAAACGAGGACTCTGACCGTCTGTTCTCTAGCAGGGGCGAAGCCCGGATGTCGTCTATTCTTTCGTGCACAAAATGCGGCATTGTTGCTATCAGTGGTGAAAGCGCCCACGGCTTCGTCTCCGACATCAAGTCATGTTCCAAGGTAGGGTCGACGTATCTAACAATTATTATTAGCTCCTATCGCCGTGTGCCGATTCTGAACGAACACGACAGCATACTCACTTCATGAATTTGAGTGCCACACCAGCACCCCAAGGCAGCTTTAAACGTTTGTCGAACGTATTTCCGAACATAACATCATCTGCTGAAGTCGGTTGTAGGAACCGGCCTAATATGATTACCACACAGCCATCAGATAAAACGAATGTCCGAAGTACAGCAATGCTTTGGACTCACCCTGAACCTGGATACTCCACGTGATCCCTTTCCTATCTTCTCGGTCAAAGTACTCCGCGTAATGCTCTTTGCCAGAGGGATTGGTGAAACCTTTGATGTTGATAGCGACCTTGCCTTCGAACAGTTCCGAAGATATGTCGTGCGCCTTTCCGCCATTCACTTTGTCTGTGATACAAACAAGCTTATCCATCGATGGCCCAACACGTACCCGCAGACGGGAGTGAAACATAGCTGTTTGGTCACAAGGAATGGACGGGAGGTAGAAAAGGGGGCAGTGCACATGTGACAATAGAGTGCTACACAGAATCTTAATCGTAGCAGTGGGTCTAGGAAAGTATTGAAGGAAGGACGTATAAGACCAGCTTGCCGTTGTCGTTGTTCGGAATGGAAGTAAGTATCGTGTGCCAAGGCGAGATTACAGCAATTGCAATGGCACTGGATTAAATTTTCACGTGGGTCTAACCAAAAAGGAAATTGATGGAAGTTGTCGCAGAGACGATTCCCTCCCTCAGTGCACAGGCTGCTATACCACGGTCCTCCGGGCATCCCAGGACCCTTGTGATGGTTGTCGAGTCATCCCCATATTAGTATGTTCAGGTAGGTCTAGAGTGTAAGTAGATGATACACAGTTGGTTGACACCACTTCATAGGGTCCGTCAAAGCGGGGCATACACTTTGCCACTCGCCTGTTGTTCTTGTTGAGCTACTGTCGACATCGATGGGCCGTCGAAATGCACACCAATTGCCGACAGCCAAGGTTGAGCTTTGAATCGTTGTTACTGTGAGTGTCGGCTGTGTTTGCCTGTACGATTTTAGTTGCCAAAAATATATCATGTGCATCAGCGACGTGAAACGATGGCCTCGCTTCTTTACGACATATCTTCAACACTCGCGTAACACCAGTATCCATATCACCATCACGGCCCACATATATCGAACAAGTCATTCATACTGACTCTGCATTGCTGATCCCAAAGATTGTTCACAATCAAGAAGTCGATGAGAGTTTTGACAAAAAAACGCTGGAGAGGAGGCTTGTGCACACACCAAATCTGAGATCTCGCAGCTCATCATGACTTGGGGCAGCAAATTGCGAAGTTTTATGGAATCCTGCGGTCTAATCACAATGTTACCCTGATTACTTCACTGAGTTCACCAGACCAACCAATTGTGCTGCCCAGTTGGTTTATATGAACAGAGATGGGTGATCTGCGAAGCGCGTGCCGCAATGAGTATAGAAGCTCGTCCAGACGCCTTGCAAACGTCAAATGGCAGCCTTTCATGTCCATAATCGCAAGCGCATTGAGGGGCTGGTGGGGACGCTTGCAAACGCTAATGGCAGCGGCTGCAGTGATCAGTAAGCAACCAACAACATGATCCGGGACGAGGAAGAACCACTAAAAACCACAATATTAATGACATGACAAAGACACAACATGATGATCGATGCCGAAACCAGTCCCTGGAACTAGTATGTACCCGACAATGATTGCCGTGCCAAAAAAGAAACAATCAATCAAAACCCTCAGGCTCGAACTTCAGCAAACTCACACCATTCGTGGTTTCTACTGTGCCTGTACAGGCCTGTAAATACAAGGGGCCAGCGACTGAAGCCAGGGACATAACAACTAGAATTTAGATCCAAGCGGAACGAACATCCGATGCCGAACAAAGCTGTGACACCAAGCATATACAACCGATCACCGCAAAAATGAAATGGTTCATCATCTCAAATTTAATGGTACACACGAAGAGGTATTGGATACACAGCGGTTGACCGTAGGATACTAATTGACGCTGTGAACGTAGTAAGAATGAATAAAGTCCAGAGTGATAGCCCGCACGCCCATGTGAGTAGATCCGCAAAGAAAACGAAAACTAAATAGCCCAAAAATCGATGAAACACGATCAGCCGATAAATTGTCCCAGGTAACAAATCGACCCTATGACGACATTGAAGTCGATAGTACACCCACAGCCAACAGCACAGCCCAGGTCCCTCCCACGCTGGTCAAGTCAATGTTCGGCGGCGCTGACGAGGACGCCACGGTCGAAGTTTGGGCATAAGGCGATCCACACGCATCGTTCAGTTTGGTTGCCGCGTCACCGTACGTAGCCTGCAATCCTGTCAGGCTCGTGGCGTTTGCACTGCTCAAAGCAGCTGAATACATTGACATGAGGCTCTTGGTGCAAGAGTTACATGCCCCGCTGGTGATTTTGGGCAGTGCCTGTCCGAGGGGTAGCTGGTAGAAATAATAGCTGGAGGCATCAGAGCTCGCCACAGCTTCGACATAACAATATGCATTTGCCACAGGATCCACGGAACACGCTGCCTGCCGCATCAAGTCAAATGCTTGAAGACCTGCGTGAAGTATTTCGTTGTCAGGAAACCCACTCGGCATCGCTATGATTCATATCATACCTATCAATGTGCTGACTGCCATAGCGTTTTGGTTACTCAAATCGGTAGCACATGAAGAACGTAGTGACGATGTAAACCACGCCATGTTTAGGTCACATTGACTTGAGGAGAGGTCAGTGTTGCACGTTCCCCAAATATCTATGTTCGTTGCATTTATATTATTTTGATTCTGTTTGTGGGACAGTACAGTGATGTTGAACAATATGCAGGATGCAATCTAGGAAATAACACACCTGTATAAATGCTTGAGAGCGAGTGAGCAAGAGTGAGAAAGGGCGGCAAGATCGTAAAGCATTCGTCTGTGTCATGTTGAGGAAGAAATTGTAGCAGGATGTGGTGGAGAAATTTGGCGACAAAGTTGTGTCATAGGGCTGGGGAAATGGAGTTGGCAAAGTTGGATTTATTGGAACGGTGGGTGCAGGGGTGGCTAAAGGTGTACTCCTCTTGATGACAGGTAACGCGTTTGTGCCAGGTATTATCGCGAGCCATAGGGAGCTCTCGGTAGGTTTGTGCCTCTCATGCAGTGACCAATCGGTCAAGCTTTTGGTCCACGTTTTCCACTCGTGAATTGAATTTGGCGAAAAGGTATCAAATGCTGTTGGATGAATAAAAAATCGTGTGGACACGCCAATTGCGATGAGAGTTATTGGTACCAATATGATCGTCCAGCGAAGAGCAAGGGTGCATTTTTGTTTGGATTGGGATGGATGTGTGGGGAACGCAGATAGGTTAGCGTGTGTGGGGGTATCATTAGTCATTTCCAGCTCGGACAATTCAGAACTTTTGGATGGGAAAGGTGACGGGGGAGGCGTAAACATGTCCGATATCTAACTGCTGAGATATAAGTGTAACGAGCGTCGGTTTCAAAAGAATGTGAGTGTTGACTCTCGACAAGATCACCGTCAGATAGGACCTGTGCGATGTCGCTGAGAAAACGCTGTTAGCATACACAAATATATGTTTCCTGCTAGCTGGCACTTACTTAAGTAGGTGAATGTGTGGTTGGTAAGAAGAAGGGACACCGAGAGTTTAAATCATAAAGTCAGGCGCGCGTTGGCGCTCACGCTTAATCCCGACGGGGCAGGCAGCGGAAATTCAAAGCGCATGACAAGGAATCGTGATAAATGCCACGTCTGATTGAACTGTTCACATGAGTGTCGCCTCGTTCCTCGTCGTCTGATTTGCAGTGATTTTCAACCCATTTAGGGTCGCCGCGTCGTTTCCCATGTCCTTCTGTTCCTTCATTTTGAGACTTTCATCCTTATCTCTGGTATATCTTCTGCTCTTTTCGTAACGGTCTGGATTTGGTCTGGACCGCCTTCGCACCATCGAGAACCTGGCCGAATTATCCTCAAAGCATGTACACAACACACTATCCTGTATAGAATACAGGTGGAAAGCACCACATTCCTTCTATTAAGGACTGACTACGGAGACTCGAGTACAGGTGGATCCGCACCGCGAGTGGGCGGTTGTCACATTTTTATGTGTCCACCTTCTCTTTTCATAATAACTCTTATGGTGGAGCTTTGGTAGGTAAGGATTCTTCGAGACTATTAAATTGGTCCAGCTCCACGGTGACGGTGTCAGCGAATCCAATCAATTTCATAGCGCCACGTTGCTGGCGCATATGACTTCTAATTTCAATCTGCTATGCTTCGGACAATGACCGTGATACAGAACGCCACGACCTCAAAAAATATTCGTATTTCACACTCTTCAATGACCATCGTTATGCAACCCGCTCTTTTCCCCTTAGTGACATTCCCAGGTTGTCGGTACGTCCATGATCCATGTTATGTGCTCCATCATCTGATTTTGAACATCGTCACGTACTGGCAATCAAAAAACAGAACCACCGCCTGAACAACATTTGTTAAGCATTTCCATTCGAACCTAGATTGCAGGCCATACCATCCACAACAATATCAGCCCCATTGATGTACCTCCCCGCACGACTACAGAGGAGCACCACAACACCTGTCAGCTCGCTCGGGTCCCCCATGCGTCCCATCGGGTTTCTCGAGTACCACAGTTTCCTAGCTTCTTCAAGTCCTTCACCTTCATTCAATATTGTATCCATATACCCTGGGCTGATGCTGTTGATACGGATGCCATACCGAGCCCACTCGGCTGCAAGAGAACTCTTTAGCTGCAGGAGTGCGCCCTTGGAAACATTGTATGAGACTTGTGGCTGGGGAAAATTGACACTGTGGCCAGAGATGGATGCTATAAAGATGATGCTACCGCCTGTCCCTTGTTGAACCATCTGTCTTTGGACTGTCAGGAGGTGGGTTTCGAGTTCAAATGGGATTGATTTACTCTGCCACTGCTTGGGCACACAACCAGCTTCCTGTCGTATTGATGTCAAGCGTACGTTTCCACGCTTCAAGAGCAACATCAAGGGCGTGGTTACAAGCGACCACACCTGCGAAGCACAGGAGAATATCCAAGCTTCCGAGCTCGTCAGCAGTCTCGGCGACGGCTGCTTGAACGACCTGCTGATCGCGGACATCTACTTTCTTCGTAATGATCGTTGCCGATGGGAAATCAGAACGCAACCTATCAACAATATCCTGGGCTTGCGCCAGATCGACGTCAAATAGTGACACACCCGACGCGCCATGCTCCAGCAGGGCACGTGCTGCTTCGATCCCAAGGCTGCCGCAGCCTCCAGTGACTGAGGAATTGCTTGATGTGAAGATTGGTACACTTGACTCGATTATACCCACCGATCGCATTGCCTCTGACAGAAAACCTTGCCGCCGCCCTTTGTGCGACCGTGAGGTCGCTTGACAAGGGGGTATATGGTCTGGTTAATGGATTGGACTTATCAGAAAGAATCATCTGTGGGAGGACACGACTGGTAAGGTCATCTCTGGACGTTGGCGTGGGACCCATGACTATGGCACACGGCGATTTGGAGGAGGAGAAACCACGGCTTTGGGGTCTCGCGGCTTCTGATCTTGATGCGACTTTGCCAATTCACACGATTACGGAAGAAACGGCTGTCTTCGATTGATCTTCTTACATATTAGGGGAGACTACGATTACGGCGTGATGCTTTGCCATGGTGAATGCGACACATACAGTATGTAATTCATAACTACTTGCGTTTGCCCCAAGGCGCTACAACATGAATATCGTCATATCACGTTATAAGTTCGACACCAGCAATTATGGATACAATATATGTGGCTGGTCTAATGCCTCGAATCTGCCAGCAGAAAATGACATACACTCATTGACAGCGCAATGTAACTGATGCCCCAGCACAGCAGACTGATCTGCAGTTAGACAGTTAAATCCTCGGAAAAAACGTTTAGCTTCGAAGAATTCATGCACAAATGTCAGAGTCCTGCTCTCGAGGAATACACTATATTTCCTGTGCAGAAAGTCGGTCATAATCTGTGCTGTGCGGATAGTCAGTCAGATGGCAATCAAATGACGTTCCGTAAGGTAATGATGTATCTGGTAAGCTCTCCTGAGTCCTGACGGTTCGAAACTGCAATTATGTCAAATATGGAAGTGTTTCAAGATGGGATACAACGAACTGATGGTGATGTTAGATGCCGTTTACTGGCCTGCGTCAAACGTGCTCCTTCCCAAATTTCTTTACAACTGATCCGTCTCATAGTTTAGCAAATTTTGTCTTACCTTCCGGCCTTGAATATTCTGGCAGCGAATCCCAGGGATAATTCAAAGCAACTCGATGTTCCCGTCGAGCCTTTCCATCAAGTTTCGTGGCTGGCTCTCGAGTTGGCAAGGATGAGCGCCTTGTGGATGGGAGGTGTATGTCCGTTTCCATCCTCGTGCAGTCCAAGATCAACATAGAGCTGAAGCATGTCAGGCGGCGCCCTACCTACAATCATGGTCAATACTCCGACGCGAGTATCATGATCATGATCTAAACACTGCGACGGCCATTATTGGCGCCTTACCAACAACCGCAGATTGTGTGTGATCGCGCAAGTCCTAGGCATGTCGACGAGGATCAATGAGGAAAACAAGGCCAAAAATTCATGAATTATCATGAGATCCAACAGGTCTCTGAAACGCAAGTACACGCCAAGCAACCTCTGAAGGAGTGTCCTGCTGCAACAAGGGTGCAGGAAGAAAAGCTATTCTTTTGTCGTGATTCATCAATGGAGACATGGAATAGGTGGAGTTGGATGGGTAACGCGAATGTTTCTTCCGGCATGTAGTTGATGTGAAAGCTTGTAATGTCTCTCGAAATATTGTCAGTCCAATCAATTAATTCCAGTCAAGCAGGAATGAGAGGCATCCTCTCACACCTACCACTGAGATTTTGTCTGTTTAGCAGAGCAGAGTCCCCGTGTCACACTGACCCATATGACCATATCTCATCTATGACGCTACAGGCAGCTGATAGATATCATATGGCGGGGTCCTATATCTAATACATAATGGATAGTCAGATTACCATGTATACCGCACGATACTCACTTCCTTCGGAGTTCAGCCCGTCGCGTGCACAAGAAATAAGGTGATCCCTTTCGCTTTGACATTAACCTCCTTGCTCCTTTTCGTTGACACTATTCCATAAGATCATTTCGCTTGCGATTACGAAATGGCCATCCTCCCCTTGCCGGACCTGCTGTTTCATTGATTCAAGTCCCAGCTTCCTGATATCTCCCTTGGCCTTCTTTGGGGACTGGAACTTCACCTGGGGTGGCTCTGAGATTGGTTGCAGGTATGACATGGGTGCTGATGGGCTTGCCAAGTTTCGCCAAGTACGTTATCGGTCCGGTACTTGAAGGGTAGAGGCGGGTCCCGGCTCGGATGCATCCTGCACGAGGCTTAAATAGCACCCACCTAGTAAGTACTGCGAACCGCCGTTTCACGGTCGTCTATATGTTGTGAGAGTGTAAAGAAACGAGGTAGGCACCATCGTGGTTGGATGTCAACTCGAACGCATGCGAGATGCTGCCTGGCACATTATTTATGCCACACTTTTATTAGGTTCAAAGCATATCCAATTCATTGCGAAAACGATGCTTATTCGACGTGGCCCACAGCCACTGAGATTTTTTTTTCCTACCGAGTCTGGAAATGAGTCGGTTGCTTGTCAACACGTGCAGGTTCATCTGACGTACCTCCACACGAGGGCGTGACAAACCAAGGGAGTTCAAGTTGATTGCAATCATAGAATAGTCAGCGTGGCCACCGCAAAATAATTGTTACACCTTCTGTGGCTGCCAACAAAGTCTTGAGCGGATATTCTGAGACCCAGGGATGAGAAATCGTGTCACTAAGAGGCCCTTCCTACGTTACGAGGGCCGACGTGTCACGCGAGTTTAACGTTGTTCAGGACCCTGGCTCGGGCAGGTGCAAGAGGTAAAGCGGGTCCAATAGCGGGTCGTGAGAAAACGGGAAACCTTGAATTCAATGGCTTTGTAGGATTGAAACCAACTGTTTTGCACTTGACCAACTAGTACTCTCAACCCAAACGTCCTTCAAGCCTTTAAGCCTTCAACAACCTCATCGTCAGCCTGTCGATTCATTTTTGGCGTGATCAAGAAACAAAGGAGTTACCGATCCACAAATACTACACCTCAGTACAAGACGCGTGGCTGATAAAACTAGCCCTGCCCTTTTACATCGTCCAATAGCGACTACCAATACTCTCCGTGACCGTTAACAACAACTCGTGGACATGTCTCAATCGGCAAGACCATCTACATCTACATCCACCGCGTATGCTCTTCTTTCCTGTTTTTAACTTATCTTTTTCTAACGCAATTTTGATTTCGTAGCTCATCCGCAACTCCTACGGACGCTTCGTGGAGGGCAGGTCTTCGTCCACCACCAAAAGACTTGCGCCCACAGACAGAAGATGTCACAAACACCAAAGGAACCGAATTTGAGGACATGTTCCTCCGTCGTGAACTCCTTATGGGCATTTTTGAAGCAGGTTTCGAAAGGCCATCGCCTATACAAGAAGAAGCCATCCCTGTCGCCCTCACCAAACGTGACATCCTTGCTCGTGCTAAAAACGGGACAGGCAAGACCGCTGCTTTCGTTATACCCTCATTACAGCAAATTGATGTCGGCAAGAACAAGATTCAAGCCCTACTCCTCGTCCCTACTCGCGAACTCGCCCTCCAGACATCCCAGGTCTGTAAAATATTGGGAAAACATATGGGTATCCAGGTCATGGTGACCACAGGCGGCACAACTCTCAAAGATGATATTATGCGCTTATCAGAGACGGTTCATGTTCTCGTTGGAACACCGGGACGTATCCTAGATTTAGCAGGCAAAAACGTTGCTGATCTCAGCGAGTGTCCTGTGTTCGTCATGGACGAGGCAGACAAACTTTTGTCGCCCGAGTTCACCCCTGTCATGGAACAATTACTCTCTTTCCTTCCTACGGATCGTCAGGTCATGCTTTTCAGTGCAACCTTCCCTATGATGGTGAAGGATTTCAAGGTAGGCTCGTCCAGAGTATTGCCTTTGCTACTAGTGTTTGACATGTTTCTTTTGTGTAGGACAAACGCATGAGAACCCCTTATGAGATCAATCTTATGGAGGAGCTCACTTTACGTGGTGTTACGCAGTATTACGCTTATGTCGAGGAGCGACAGAAGGTTCACTGTTTGAACACCCTTTTCTCTAAAGTAAGTTCCCGCACACCAACCCCCTTTTCTTACTGATCATCCATCTCCAGTTGCAAATCAACCAATCCATTATATTCTGTAACTCTACCAATCGCGTCGAGCTACTCGCAAAGAAAGTAACAGACCTCGGCTATTCATGTTTCTATTCGCACGCAAAGATGCTTCAGTCACATCGTAATCGCGTGTTCCATGACTTCCGCAATGGAGTCTGCCGCAACCTCGTCTGCTCAGACTTATTGACCCGAGGAATTGATATCCAGGCAGTCAACGTCGTAATCAACTTTGACTTTCCCAAGAACTCGGAGACGTACCTCCACCGCATTGGTCGTTCCGGTCGGTTCGGGCACTTGGGTCTTGCTATTAATCTGGTCACTTATGAGGACCGTTTCAATCTATATCGTATTGAGCAGGAGCTTGGCACCGAGATTCAGCCAATTCCCCAGTCTATCGATAAGGGCCTTTATGTCGCACCCAGCGCTGCTGAGGAGCCTGCCCCGCAGAAGTCCCAACCCCAGCCCCAGCCTCCGCCCCAATCATCTCAACAGCAGCGACAGCAGGCACCTTCTCAGCAAACTTCAAGCAACGGCCGCCAGAACGGCGCAGCGCCTGCACCGTCACAAGGGCAGCCAGCTCAGCGGGGTGGTTATACCAACCAGGCAGCGTACCGCAACGGTACTCCTACACGATGAGCTCGTTCTTTTATGTTCCGTGTAGGAGGGAGGGGGAGGAGACCATCACCGCTCGGACACCATTCTCATTTTTTACCGTCAGCCGTCATCTCGACATCTCGTATTTCCAGGGTCGTGTCTCCCTTTGTTCCACATCGCCTGTCCATCCATCTCACTGCTCTAGCACCCGTCACATCTTGCGCTCCGTTGTTTTTTCTCACGTCTGTTTTTACGCGTCCGATTATATATATCATATTAGGTTATACTACGCTCCTAGTCTGGTCCCTACGTACGTACTCCGATCGGGAGTCGAGTTTTTTGCTGCTGGTGAACGGTGTGGGTGGTGGTTTTGGGATGGTGTGTGAGGTGTGTGGTGTGGGGGGTTGGGGTTGGGTATGTTTATGTAGTTTTGACTTTGTCTGGCGCCATGTTCTGTGCCAGACATTGTTGATACTACCGGTACTGTGACGATACAACTCATTCCCCAAGTTTGACGAGTTGACGCGTTCTTTCGAATTCCCGATGCAGACCTGTAGAAAGAGATTACCACAGTGGGTGCTCGTGTTCTAGCAACATTGGACCAAGATGCTATTAGTAATAAAGGGTCGACTCGTCACTAGTCACAGTGTAGAGTCCCAATATTGCCGAATGACTGTTTGAAGTTCTTCTATCGGTTTTGCCCAGGACAACGTTATCGACAGATTGCTTGCGCGTGTACAAAAGATAAGTCCTTGGATCTCGATTGGGAGCTACCGACCAGCATCCGAGTACTGTTCAAGATAGGCCGCCAAGGCTAAGTACTTAGCTACGGTTGATCACTGCAAGTACGTCCCGCGGGCCGGATGGGCACGACTTGCCTCGCAAACTTTACATGTGGACGTCTTGTTTCGGGGGATGAGAGGTAAGTATGTACCTCTATCTCACTTCAACCAGAGTGCTCAAGGTGGATTGCATTCCCTAGGAAAATTTGGATGTCTCAACTTTCGAGTCTTCCCCTTGGCATGAGTCACAAAATGACCCATCCCCACTTTAAGGCCCAAGAGCCGCAGACCCATAGCCAATAGTAGGTTCGCTTATTCCACCCTAGCAATTACCGCTGCAATATTTTTGGGATCCCGGCTAATGCTATGTTTCATCTTCTTGACCAGCATCATGAAGCACTTCAAAATCCATCACAATTTTTTTTTCTCTGGGAGGTGCCGTGAAGCGGCATTCTCCACCTTCACGTCACCGTCGTGCGCGTGACAAAGTGATACCCATTGGTTTACCTCATTTGCCACTGCGAGACGCTATGATATGAGAATCTACGACCTTGTTCTCAAGCTTCTATTAGCGTCCGCTGTAGAAGGCATACGTTTTACCCTGTACAGAAGATTCATTCAGTCAGTTTGACACTTCAGGGAAGATAACAGGATTGTGTTAAATACGTGTACTTTGCACTTTTGTGCCCAGAGTCTACGGCCTATCGCAACTGATGGACTTTGCAAGACAATTGGTCAGAGCGCTCGAGGTTCCCCATACTCGAGAAGAGCGTGCTCCCTCCGACCTGCAATTTGTTTCGGTGAGTTTCAAGTGCTGATTACTAGGTTTCACAGTTTAGGCTTACTGCACGGTCCCTCAGAGCGACGATCTACTGCCAGTTCCAATAGAGGAAAGAACATGGACTGCTTTCAGTTATGTCGCTTTGTGAGTGTTGTAATTTGTTGGATTGACTGCACAACTAACACGCTTGTCGGCCAGCTGGACGAGCACGTCAGTGAGTAGTGAATCATCACAATGACACAGAACGTTTATGAAGCTCTACTCGCAGATCAATGTTGGAACGTTAGTTGCAAATTTTCAGCTTGTAGTATAAACTCATACAGGTCACTCGATAGTTGGATGATAACCTCTAGCATGATCGTCATGGGCATGTCGTGGTGGCAAGCCTGGCTGACTATCTGGATTGGCTATGGTGTGATGACGCCGTTTGTCGTCCTGTTGGGCCGACCGGGTGCTGTATTTCATGTTACCTTCCCTGTCGTCAACCGTGCCAGCTTCGGAATATTTGGAAGTTTGTGGTGTGTATTCAATAGAGCGGCGATGGCATGGTAGGTACGATGTCTTTTGCGCCGTGCTGTACTCACTTCATTGCAGTATCTGGTACGGAGTGCAATCGAGTATCGGCGGTTCATGCGTCTTAGTGATGCTCCGTGCAATCTGGCCAAGTGTTAATAATATCCGTGAGTTTATTGACGAGTTGCCAGTCCTTCGTGATCTGATATATCTTATGCGATGAAGCAAATTCCATGCCCTTGTCCTCTGGCACTAATACCAGGGATTTTATGTGCTTTCTCATTTTTTGGATTATATCTTTGCCCTTCATATGGCCTCCAGTGCACACAATGTACGTTTATGTAGAGAAGTTCATTCGAACGGATTACTGATGAGCTCGCAACAGTCGTCATTTCTTCACGTTCAAGACGATCATCGCGCCCATTGCCTGTCTCATCTTCATGATTTGGTGCATCGTCAAGGCAAAAGGTGTTGGACCGATCGTCAAACAGCCGGCAACCATCCATGGCTCAGAACTGGCATGGGCCATGATTAGCAGTGTCGGTATATGCCTCAGTAACCTCATAACATTGACGACGTATGCCTGCTGTGCTTTCATGTATTATCTCAATAATCTTACCATATTTGCAGGAACGCGCCGGATTTTGGGTCACGGGCGAAGACTCCATCTGCACCGGTCATTTCCCAGCTCTTGTCCATCCCCCTCTCTTATGGTTTAGTCTGTCTCTTTGGTGTGATCGTCAGCTCATCGTCACAAACAATCTACGGGGAAGTAATTTGGTCACCCGTGGATTTGCTAGGAATGTTCTTGGACGATGACCCATCCCCTGCCACTCGATTTGGTGTGAGTATGTACAATGCAAGGTTGTTTTGCACTGACGAGAAGGTCATTAGGTCTGGTTCATCGCCTTCTCTCTCATTATAGCCCAGGTAGGCATTATATCGACTTTCTTGAAGATATAATACTGATTGATCTCAGATAGGGTACGTCATGGACGCACGAGTCGCTGTCATAGCTCATACTTTGTATTCTGCCCATTTCCAGAACGAACATCTGCGCTAACTCGGTCAGTGCGGGTTGTGATCTGACGGCGCTATTTCCACGTTTCATCGTAAATCCTTTACTTCATGCATTGATTTCAGGAAGTACTTATTTTCATCACAGAATATCAGACGCGGCGGGTATATATCAGCAATTGTCGGACTTGTCATGTGTCCCTGGAATCTGGTATCAAGCAGCAGTCGTTTTTCCTCCTATATGTCTGCGTACTCGGTCTTCCTGAGCGCGATCGCGGGAGTTATGGTGAGTGCACCTTGATCTGCATTGTATTTTATTTTAGACTTAATATGCCTCTAGGCCACTGAATACTGGTTTGTGCGCAAGGGCCATTATAACGTCGCCGACCTCTACGTCACCCGCAAAGGCAGTTGGTATTGGTACAATTATGGTTTCAACCCCAGGTCTGTGGAAGACTAGAAATGTTGGCTCTTCATCGCTCACTTGAGTTTAAAGAGCGTACGCAGCATACGTGGCAGGCATCGCCATCAATGTAGTGGGGTTCGCTGGTGATAGTACGTCCCTCTAGTTTGTATTTTGCTTGCGGCACTCATACTTCCACAGCTGGAAGATCTGTACCAGCTGCTGCGACTCACATATTCGACTTGTCGTTCTTCACAGGATTTGGCATCTCAAGTATCGTGTACTATCTATTGAGCAGGATGTTTCTGGTTCCTGGAGCTGCTGACATATTTGAGGAAATAGATGTATCTGGGTATGAGGAAAAGATGGCGAGCTGCGATGAGGATACAAAGTCAAAGGACGATTCCACAGAGAAGGAGTCATCTACCATATTGATTTAACGGACTTCGGACAGTCAATAAACATCCAAGCATGGTAGTCCAAAAATGATTACATAATAAAACTCTGGTAGTATACCACTTTCAAGTTGCTACCACAGGTGTTCATTGCTTGTCAAATATTTTTTCCAATCAGTACTATGTACACCCAGCACTTCCGAGTTCCATCACTTGCCTTGGATGTTTATCGACTGATGCAGCCAATTCTGGTTTATGTATATCTCCTATCAAGACAAAATATCCACATGCATGGCCCTACTGAGAATATTAAATGTTGAGATTCATGACAGGTGCTGCCATCATTCCTCGTCACCCTTCCCTTCCTCGATTGACCTTTCTATGCACAAGACAACATTCACAGAATTAGGGCTGCACACTGTACCGTCGACGGTAGACAGCCGTACACAGTGTCATTTAGGTACTTGTCATGTAGTACAAGAGTTCTATCAAAGATACTGAGATTACCATCCTCATTTAGCGTCCGCATGTCTCCCGCTCGTTTCAACTCTCTACAAGGAGGACAAGAAAGATGACTGCCTGTTTCTGGTCGACCAATGTGGCACAAATATGGTGGACCATTGATCAACTGATGTAGCAGTTGTGGACACTCAGGCTAGCGATGCATTCCTATAACGCACGCACGTGACTCTGACTGATAAATTTGTCGAGTTTAACTTTATTTACACCAGGGTAATTGGACGAGCAAGCTCCTTAGCAGCTCATTTTTTCGGGTCATCCCGAACTTCGCTTATGTCAAGGGCCTGTCCCTTCGTTGAGTGCCCCGTGCATCGTTTGACGTGACTAATACGTCTTTGCAATCCTCATTGCCACCTCCTTTAGCGGAGTTATTTTGGCCTATGTCTAGCGGGACTTGGTGAATTGGGGTCCTTACCTCTTCTCACTTGAATTGCTCGTCTCGCTAGGTACGCCAATTATATTTCAGTTAGTTCTGTTCTCACTTGGATTACTCGTCTTGCTAGCTATAGCTATCTTTCGTGCATATTGTTTTAATCATCGAATAAATTCTCATGTCAGGAAATATGGATGGAACTTCACCAACAGTTTTGTCCATCCCCTCTTCAGGGGACATTCAAACTTTCAACCAAAACGCTGTTGACTCATGTTGGAAATACGTCGAGGACTTTCAAAAGGGGATCCTATCAAAGGGTGATGCCCTGCTTGAAATCCAGAGGGTTTTACATGCAGCCATTGCGGAATCGGAAGTATTATCCCAACTTGACTTTAAATCTGGCTTCAACCACTACCTCGAACTCCTTGACCGAGGCAGAGAGACTGAAGAATCACACGACATTCAAAGGAGCACAACTTTCGAAGGACAAAGTCACAAAGATGAATCCCAACCAGAAGTTCCCAATGATACGGGAGTTAAAGAGAGGGAGCTCAGAGCAAAGCTATGAAAGAGAGTCCAATCTGAAGAAGAGGAAGGTAGTGAATCAGGAGATGATCACGAATACGTCTTCCGTGGAAAAAGACAATGTCTTACTTTGGAATGGTTGCAGTTCTATCCCTGGCTTCAACCAGAGAAATATCGGCACATTTCATTCAAGTGTGCAGAAGAGCTTACCCTCGACTGTTATGAGGAGTGGTCGGAGGATTCCAAATATTATTGAGGACAAGTTACCGCAACTCCCGGGTGTCCCGTATTCCCTTTGTCTCAATGGACTCTCCTCCTCGAAGGGAGAGCGCCAGATCTTGAAAAAGTCTTATCGGGACACTATTCCACTTCCATTGATCCAAAACAATCTCAACCCCTCGGAAAGGGTTTCGAAATCACCTTGTCGCAACCTACCACAACTCACAAAGTTAAAACTTACGGAGACTGGAGTATTGCCACGGATCTCTGGGTTGAGGCGCTCTCTTTCATCATGCCCTGGAAAGAGTCAGAGTTACGAGGATACAAAAGATACATGTCCGGTTTTTTTGTTGATGTCCACTACAATCTCCACTCCCGAATCCTCAACTTTGATAAAGCATGTCGCCTCAAAATTGAAGGTCAAAAGTACTTACAGTTCAATGCCATCACCGAGTTCCGTCGACTTGAAGTCTCTCACCTCTCGTCGCTCGGAATGGTCGCATTCTCTGACCTTCAACAATTATCCTCCTCCTCCTTCTCAGGTGAGAAATCATTTGGAAAGGGAGGAGGAACAGGGAGGAAGTCGTCACGCTCAGAATCGTCCGGACGTGGAGAACCTTGTCACAACTGGAACCGCAGGGCTTGTGATAAAGCCACCAACGAGTGTCCCCGGTTCCACGTCTGCAGCAAGTGTCGAGGAGGTCACAAACGGGGAGAATGTCCCCTGGCAAAGAATTCTAAATGAATCGATAGCTCATGGTCAACATTTTCGGAGGCAGATGATTTGGGGAGAAGAATCTGGAATACTTAGTGGAACAGCGTTATGGACCGAAACGGCTGATCCGTTACCACATCCTCCTCCTTCAGAGTTCGAGAATGTTCCCACTCTTACGACCATCGCTAATAATCCTGATCTTTTTCGAATCTCCACGCCTATCAATATAGATCGGTTCGAAACTATCCTCACACAAGCCAATCATCCCAATCCTCCTTTCGTTTGCTCTATTTGTCAAGGGTTACGAGAAGGGTTTTGGCCCTGGGCCGACACCCAATATGGGACCTATCCCATCACTTGGGACATACCTTCCCCTACACCCTCTTCTAGCCTTGAATGTGACTTTCTTTGTAGCCAGATTCTCAAGGAAGAGTCCGTGGGTCGGTATTCTCGCAATTTTGGGCCAAATCTTTTGGCGGGAATGTATAGTATGCTAATTCACGCTGTACCCAAAGAGGGAGGAAAATTTCGCCTTGTCACTAATCATAGTGCTGGTGAGTTCTCTCTTAATTCCATGATCGCCAAAGAGGATATAGCGGGCGTTACTCTTGATAACATTCAAGACCTCAGAGGAGCTTTGTGAGAGCATCAGCGTCAGTGTCCTAACGATAACTTAATCGTTTGGAAAGCAGATGTTTCAGAAGCTTATCGACACATGCCTATGCATCCCTTGTGGCAAATCAAGCAGATCGTCTCTTTTGATGGAGAGCGGCGAGTCGACAGAGCTAATGTTTTTGGTGGATGAGCTTCTCAGCGAATTTTCCATGCTTTCATGTCACTCATCATTTGGATCGCTGTCTTCATCCGACTTATTCAAGCTTTCATTTACGTTGATGACTCTTTCTCCTTTGCCAAATGAGGTCATCTATCATATTACGCCAAATATCGTAAGACACTACCTTCTGACATGGTCACACTTCTCCTTCTGTGGGATGAGTTAGGAATTCCCCACGAAGAATGGAAGCAAGTATTCGGATCACCTCTTCCAGTCATCGGATTCAAGGTGGACCCGAACCTAATAAAAATTACCCTCAAAGAGGAGTCGAAGAAAGGTTTAGTCCAAGAGTTAAAGGATTTCGCGAGGTATAAGAGTCGAAGGTCTCTACGGGACTTTGAACATACAGCGGGATCACTCAATTGGGCCTTAAATGTTTGTCCTCTTTTACGTCCTGGGCTTTCGGCTGTCTACGCCAAAATCAAAGGGAAAACTGACTCGAAAGGAATGGTTTGGCTCAATCAAAGCGTCATCGAAGAACTTCGTTGGGCAGCCTTCCTTTTAGAATGTTCAAGTGGTATCTTTCTTTTAAAGTCGACTGCTTGGAATTACCGACCTCTACCTACGGATGTACTACAGGTCTACTGTGATGCCTCCGGTTCAGGTCTTGGATTCTGGTACCCTTCCCTTAACCTCAGCTTCCAATCTAACCTTCCTGAATGTCCCCTTGTAAAGGATATATTCTTTTATGAGGCTCTTTGCGTCGTGTCTGCAATCCATGATGCAGTCACGCATCTGCCGAAGAATGGACGACTGGCCGTTTTCACCGATAGTCTCAATTCGGTATACCTTTTCAACTCCTTGTCCGGAGGGCCAGGATACAATCGCCTTCTCATGTACGTCGTTGAGGTGATTCTGGCGTTTCAAGTTGATTTTCGGGTATTCCACATCTCTGGAGAAAAGAATGTGATAGCTGATCACCTCTCTCGTTGGAGGGCTTCGGATGCCCACTTAGCTTCACCCAGATTACGGGTACTACCGTTCCAACCCCCTCAGGATACGCTGGGGGCGGTCAAAAAATGATACCTACTTTGGCTAAGACCAAGCAGCCCGTTAGGGCTGCTTGGTCAATGGAGCGTCTCGTCTATGAGCGCTCTATTAATCTTGGGTTAGCTTTGGACCGATCTACTAATCAGTCATATTCCTCGGCCCTTAATTCCTACGTCACTTTTTGTGACCTTCATCACTTGTCTCTCGATCCTTCCGTCGACACTTTATCACTCTATGTCACCTTTATGTCCACCCACATCAATCCCAGATCAGTCGACAACTATCTTTCAGGGATATGTAGTGTCCTGGAGGAATTTTATCCTGAAGTCCGTCAAAATCGTCGCGCTCGTCTTGTTTCTCAAACATTACGAGGAGCTAAACACTGTTTTGGAGTCCCAATATGCCGAAAACTTCCTCTTTCTCGTGCCGATCTTCAAACAACTTTGGCGTCGATTCCTCCTCCTCTAAATCACAATGATTTGCTATTCATTGCGCAGCTCTTTGATGATTTTTACAGACTTCTATGCCTCGGAGAGCTGGTATGGCCAGATAACTCTAAAATCCAGTGCTATTCGAAGCTGTCCCTTCAAACGTCAGTGATCATAACCGACACATATCATTTGTTTGTGTTATGACGGCACAAAACGGATTTTCAGTTCGAAGGGAGTACTATCGTTATACAGCGTGCTGATGTAGCTGATCCTCATCACACTTTCTTATCCTATCTTGCATCTCGTGACCGTCAATTCCCTTTTAACAGTTTTCTTTGGCTACGCGAGGACGGCTCTGTGCCTACTCGCGCATGGTTTATTAGCCGCTTACGCATGCTGTTTCCTGATTCCATATTGGGACACTCGTTGCGTGCCAGCGGAGCCACTTCTTTAGTGGCAGCCGGAGTATCGGCCGATTGTATTCAAGCTATGGGACGTTGGAGCAGTGACTCCTTTCATATTTACATCCGAAAAAATCCAGCATTATTACATGCACTTCTCTTCAATGGACGCTCCATTCATGATCGTGCAGTACCTTTTCATTCTATTTAATATATTTCTACTTACTATTTCTACTTCTTTCCACACCTTCTGTTCCCTCCCTCCCTCCCCATATAGCTGGAGTTATAGCGTTTGTAGTGTCGGTCGAGTTTGGGCATGTTTGTCTCCCGAATCCATTGGGGACCCCACGTTCTCGCGTCGGGGTCCTCGAATTTGCTGGCTAAACTCCTCGTCGTCTGCGTGTTCACGAGACTTAAGCGAGGACAATTAGAAGTCCTGGAAATCGGTCCGGAGTAGAGAGTGGCGTGGGAATAGTCTGTAGAGAGGAAGCGGGGGTTGCCGGATAATTGATAGGACGGAACGGAAGGTACTTGCCCGAGCCTCTTAGGTAGATAATCCTACTAAGGACGTCGTGTATTTGGGGCAGGATCTATTGCTGGTGTCGGGGGAAACGACTAATTTGATAGTGCCATTGGCGAGCCACAACTATACATATTGAGAAGGTCAGGTGTTACCTCACGAGTCATTTGCCAATGGGGAATGCTGATCCTCTGACATTACTAGGCACGCCATGATATGACCTTGTTCTCAAGCTTCTATTAGCAACCGCTGTAGAAGGCATATGTTTTACCCCTGTACAGAAAATACATTCATGCAGTTTGACACTTCAGGAAAGATAAGAGGATTGTGTTAAATACGTGTACTTTGCACTTTTCAATGTGCCCAGAGTCTACGACTTATCGCAACTGATGGACTTTGCAAGACAATTGGTCAAAGCGCTCGAGGTTTCCCATACTCGAGAAGAGCGTGCTCCCTCCGACCTGCAATTTGTTTCGGTGAGTTTCAAGTGCTGATTACTGGGTTCAGCAGTTTAAGCTTACTGTATGGGTCCTCAGAGCGATGATCTACTGCCAGTTCCGATAGAGGAAAGAACGTGGACTGCATTCAGTTATGTCGCTTTGTGAGGGCTGAAATTTGTTGGATTGACTGCACAACTAACACGCTTGTCGGCCAGCTGGGCGAGCACGTCAGTGAGTAGTGAATCGTCACAATGACAGAACCCTTATGAAGCTCTACTCGCAGATCAATGTCGGAAGGTTAGTTGCAAATCTTCAGCTTGTAGTATAAACTCATACAGGTCACTCGATAGTTGGATGATAACCTCTAGCATGATCGTCATGGGCATGTCGTGGTGGCAAGCCTGGCTGACTGTCTGGATTGGCTATGGTGTGATGACGCCGTTTGTCGTCCTGTTGGGCCGACCGGGTGCTGTATTTCATGTTACCTTCCCTGTCGTCAACCGTGCCAGCTTCGGAATATTTGGAAGTTTGTGGTGTGTATTCAATAGAGCGACGATGGCATGGTAGGTACGATGTCTTTTGCGCCGTGCTGTGCTCACTTCATTGCAGTATCTGGTACGGAGTGCAATCGAGTATCGGCGGTTCATGCGTCCTAGTGATGCTCCGTACAATCTGGCCAAGTGTCAATAATATCCGTGAGTTTATTGATGAGTTGGTCCTTCGTGATCTGATCTGATACCTTATACGACGAAGCAAATTCCATGCCCTTGTCCTCTGGCACTAATACCAGGGATTTCATGTGCTTCCTCATTTTTTGGGTTATATCTTTGCCCTTCATATGGCCTCCAGTGCACACAATGTACGTTTAGAGAAGTTCATTCGGACGGATTACTGATGAGCTCGCAACAGTCGTCATTTCTTCACGTTCAAGACGATTGTCTCACCCATTGCCTGTGTCATCTTTATGATTTGGTGCATCGTCAAGGCAAAAGGTGTTGGACCGATCGTCAAACAGCCGGCAACCATCCATGGCTCAGAACTGGCATGGGCCATGATCAGCAATATTGGTATATGCATCAGTAACCTCATAACATTGACGACGTATGTCTGCTGTGCTTTCATGTATTATCTCAATAATCTTGCCATATTTGCAGGAACGCGCCGGATTTTGGGTCACGGGCGAAGACTCCATCCACACCAATCATTTCCCAACTCTGGTGCATCCCCCTCTCTTATGGTTTAGTCTGTCTCTTTGGTGTGATCGTCAGCTCATCGTCACAAACAATCTACGGGGAAGTAATCTGGTCACCCGTGGATTTGCTAGGAATGTTCTTGGACGACAACCCATCCCCTGCCACTCGATTTGGTGTGAGTATGTACAATGCAAGGTTGTTTTGCACTGACGAGAAGGTCATTAGGTCTGGTTCATCGCCTTCTCTCTCATTATAGCCCAGGTAGGCATTATATCGACTTTCCTGAAGATCTAATACTGATTGATCTCAGATAGGGTATGTAATGGACGCACGAGTCGCTGTCATAGCTCACACTTTGTACCCCGCCCATTTTCAGAGGGAACATTAGCGCTAACACAGTCAGTGCGGGTTGTGATCTGACGGCGCTATGTCCACGTTTCATCGTAAATCCTTTACTTCATGCATTGATTTCAGGAAGTACTTATTTTCATCGCAGAATGTCAGACGCGGTGGGTATATTTCAGCTATTGTCGGACTTGTCATGTGTCCCTGGAATCTGGTAGCGAGCAGCAGTCGTTTTTCTTCCTATATGTCTGCGTACACGGTCTTCCTGAGCGCGATCGCGGGAGTTATGGTGAGCCACCTGGATCTGTATCGTATTTTATTCCAGACTTGATATGCCTCTAGGCCGCTGAATACTGGTTTGTGCGCAAGGGCCATTATAACGTCGCCGACCTCTACGTCACCCGCAAAGGAAGTTGGTATTGGTACAATTATGGTTTCAACCCCAGGTCTGTGAAAGACTGGAAATTTTGGCTCTTCATTGCTCACTTGAGTTTAAAGAGCGTACGCAGCATACGTGGCAGGCATCGCCATCAATATTGTGGGGTTCGCTGGGGATAGTACGTCCCTTTAGTCTGTATTTTGCTTGCAGTACTCATAGTTCCACAGTTGGAATACCCGTACCAGCTGCTGCGACTCACATATTCGACTTGTCGTTCTTCACAGGATTTGGCATTTCAAGTATCGTGTTCTATATATTGAGCAGGATGTTTCCGGTTCCTGGAGCTGCTGACACATTTGAGGAAATAGATGTATCTGGGTATGAGGAAAAGATGGCGAACTGCAGCGAGGATACAAAATCAAAGGACGGCTCCACAGAGAAGGAATCTACCGTATAGATTTAACTGACTTCGGACAGTCAATAAACATTCAAGGCAAGTGATGGAACATGGACATTGATACGGGAAATCAACTGATCTTTCGAAAGTCCTGACAATGTGCTAGATATTCCCCGCCAGTAAGATTTAGACGAATGCTTTGTAAATTTCGAAACTTCTTTTGCAATAGAAGCGCTATGTATAGTCAATGCTGAGCGCTGAGAAGTCGAGTAATGATCCTGCCCTGAGATCGACAAACATTCCCCGCGAGCGAAATTGAGGAATGTTTATAAAGCCATTTGGAAGTGCCAGGGCAGGGTATGTAGCCTACTGCTGAGAAACATGCTCTTAATCGAGAAATGATGTTCGACTCCTTCCGCAATGGAAGTGAAAGTGACAGGATGAGGTAAATACATCAGTGACAAACATTCTTGACAGGCGAAAACGAGGAATGATGATAGTCCCTTGAAAGTTCAGAGTAGTGGCCATGATGTTTGATGCGAGTCACGAGGCGGCGAGTTGCAATTACAGTATCAGCGTTGAGCTCAGGCTGCGGCTTACGCGATTCAGAAGCGTATGTGGTACCTGTGATGGCAGAATGCCGTCGCCGAGTCTGTACCCTGAGGGCGCATATAAATGATGTTATGAAGACCAACTCGCTTCTCGTATTCTCTTTCTTGCCTCCCCAACAACAAATTTCAATTATCATGTCTATCAACGGTGTCCTTGTAAATGTGCGTGACCCTGATTTCGTGTTGGGGACGCACAGAGACGGTGTGCACACGAAGGTCGAAGGCCAGGCCTTCAATCAGACTGACAATCAGAGGGTCAGTAGATAACCAGAGATGAAGTTCCGACCCTGGCGCTGATGAGTGATATCAATAGTGGACCTCGAGATATACGTATGTCAAAGAAACAGACACGCGTCTGTGGTCGGTCCAGAACAAGGATACTGGAGATTGCTTGTCATGGAACGTCAGTGTCTGCAAGAAGCGGTTCCGATGCCAATCTCACCTCTTTGCAACAAATTTGCAGTCGGACAAGCAAGTCATCATGAGCGAGACTGAGCACTGGTGGAAATTGGTCTTCGTAGGCGACAATGTCGCGTGCGTATTATGCGATTCAGACCATGCCTATCAACTGACGATGAGGTGCAGATTCCAAATCCCCCATGACTCCAAGGACGATCAAAGCGTCTATACTTTGAAACTTGAAGATAATGGATCGGTGATGCTAGCCCATTGACCGAGGTACCGCATTGTTCCTGATTTTCGTTGCAGGTCACCATTGAGGACCAGCAGGAGCCACTCATCAAAAGGCAGTTGTGGATGATCCAGGATAAATGAGCATGTACCTGAAGGATTTCCTCTAGCTGGTTTGCCAGTATGTTTCTATGTGCTTGTTGCAATTGTCACGGAGATTAGGCTGCAGCCCGCTGTTTTTTATGTTGTTCATACAAGTATACATTGCTGTCCGCCGCAGCACATAGCACGCATATGGTTGGGCATGGTCCGCAAATGTAGCCTCTGTGAATGTGAGGCGTTACACAAATTAGAATTACCCGCATCAGTCAACAGACATTCAAGGCAAGTGATGGAACATGGAAGTGCTAGGCGTAGCAATCGTTCTGTAAAAAACCCGATTAATGAAACTCCTTCAGTAGTGCCAGACTCGAGCTGCGTAAGAAATATAGACATGGGCAGCACAAAATGAAACCTTGATCAGAATGGAAAGCTCGATGGCCATTTACATAATACGATTCCCGCAGAGCCTGAAAGTAAGTGCTATAATCGACCGCAATGGGAGTAGATAGATATTACCTGCGCCTCGCGACGTAAATATCACCAACCAGGTGACATCATACTCAAGTCATCTTCTCCTATGATTTCTTTCGACAACAACAACCACCATCTCAGCAAAGAAACAGTTCCAAGATGCATCCGACCCCTAATTTCCGCCAGCAGGGAGATATGTCCCAGAAATACTGGCATAATCAGCCGCCAAGGAACAGATTTGTGCGCTCAGTAAATCAGTACTGACTGCGACCGCTCATCATTTGGATCACGCAGTTCATCATGACCGCAGCTCTCATTGCTGGAACAGGGCTTGCGTATTATTGGGGCTATCGGGGTGTGGATCAGAGGCACAGTGACAGTGAGTGTTATGACTACTTTCCAGAAATTGCATTCTCAGCACTGTTACCGTCGCTTAGAAATACCTGTCAAGAAGTAGTCAGGATGTCATGGGAATGAGGAATGTTTCACTGGTCCCCCTTGTACGATGAAAGTCCATTAATTTGTACCTGTCTAATCTACTTTTATTTGATATGTAACATGTTTCTATACGACACCTATTGCTGGGTACTACCGTTAGTAAGACGACAAGCCTAATGTTTAAAAGTCATAACTCACTGGGTAGTCAATCATTCAAAGCGTTTGATGACATGTCAGTATCTAGTCCATGTTTGACCACCGACTGGTCAATGAGGTACTGCAACGTTGACGTATTTTCGTCACATCTGGACAACAATCAATGAGACGCAAACGACTATGGATGCAGGTAGAGACGCACAGCCTTGATATTGACCCCTCTACGTCACCTAATGCCTTCTGGGCCGCCCGCAATACAGGTGCATATTCACCGCTGTGATCCCTCAGGAAGCGACCATGTGCCGTAATCACAGCCTGCACCCAAATGAGGTCGAATTCGAGATGAGGACTCTTCTCCAGATGCTCTGACGTGAATCGAAGGAGTGCAGGGATATAAATATTAGGCATCTGACGTGCAACAAGGCGTATATCACTGCGTGGAATGCGCTCGTAAACTTGTTGTATAATGGGTTTTTCATTCAAGCGGAATGCAAGAACAAGCGCCTTCAGGTACTCGCCCTCCGCAAGGATGTTGAGTATGGCTTGCGGAGTGAGATCTATTGTGAGGTCGAAAGGGTCAAACATAACAGTGTCGTCTAGAGAGTAGATCAGGAGGCCTTCGGTGCTTGCAGCTGCCCAAGCACGCCCTGTTGGGGAGAAGCGCACGCATTTAGTGCGTGCTTCTTGCCGGTACCTTCGTACGGACATGTCGCCTGCTCCTCTCGATGCACCTGGTAGAGTCGTATCCATCCTATCTTCTAGGTCGCTGGCATTGCCGCGGTCATCAATAAGATCGATGTTGATACCCGCGTCGTTAACCTTGCGACTATCTAGAAACTCCTGAGTGCCATCTAGCGAGAGGTTTTCTGAAATCTGGAACTTCTTCACGAGCACTCCCTCTCCTTCACGTACGTCATATAGACAAACGTACTTGCTATTTCCACCGGCAAGCACACACGACCCATCTGCAGTATATGCAAGGCTCGTAAACGCCTTCGTGGAAGAACTATTGGCAGCCGCGACTCGATCGTCTGCTTTTCGTCCTCCAGAAACATCTTTGCGGCCATCAATGACATTTGACTGCTTTCCTGATCGCACATCAAAGAATGTGATCTGGCCATCAAGCGTAGACGCTCCTAGCTCCACGCCATCCGGTCGAAATGCAATCGAGAGAACATCGGAGGAGAGCGTAAGAGGTTCCACAGCGCGTGATCTGCCAAAAATGCTCCAAATGCGAATAGTGCGATCCCAAGAACCACTCGCTAGTTGATTGGCACCCGTTGGTGAGAAGGCAAGCGTAGATACGGGTGCTTCATGGCCGGCGAGGATGTCGAGGAGCTTCCCGGTTTGGACCGACCACATAAAGACTTCGAATGTGTCTGTTGAGCCTGCAGCAACAACTTCTCCTGATGGGTCGACTGCTATGGAAGAGAACTGAACAGGAGAAGGGGAGGTAAAAGTTCGGAAATTGCGGTACCGAACTAGGTCGAATGCACGAACGGTACCATCAAGAGATGCGGAGAAGAGAACAGAGCCGTGCTTCGCGAAAGTGATGCCCATTATGGGTGCAGTGTGCTCTGAGAAGGTTACGAAGCAGAAGCCATTTTGTACGGACCAGACCTTGAGCTTGCCATCGTCACCCCCTGTGGCAATGGTCTGCCCATCTGGAGCGTAAGCTAGCGTGTTCATATCAAAATAGTGTCCCTGTTGTTTGAGGATATAGGACTCTGATTGCCATTCCCAGACAAGGAGCTGACCAAGCCTACGTGCGCCAAAGGCAAGCCACTCTCCGGTTGAAGATATTGCAACAGATGATATCTTCTCCTGCGAGATGCTCAGAGTGTGGATATTTGTGAATGACGGAAGCTCCCAAAGCCCAAACACTCCACTGGAAAATCCAACGACTAGGAGGTTGGAAGGTGGGTGGAAGGTGGTACAGACAACTTTCGTGTGTGGGAGATTAAAATAGTGGCGGTCATGTACACCCCACCTTGTCCGAGGAATTGAATGTGCGAGAGCTGAAGAAACAAGCTGTGGCACCTCAGCGTCGTCTGGCTCGTCTTTGGCTGTCCATGTGAAAACAGCACCATCACGGCTGACAGTGTATATCTGAGCATACGTAAGTCAAAGGAAAGATGAAAGACTGATTTCACTTACAAATTTGCCATCGGCAGAGAAGTATGCTCCAACCACGGCGTCCTTATGACCAGCAAACGTTTTTGGTCGAAACCCTTCCAAGGGGTCAAGGGTGAATAATCGGGCAGTCATGTCGCGCGATGTCGTTATGAAGCAGCTGGTCTCACTGAGCTTAGTGGTCAACAACAATAAACTAAATGCGCTCACGTTGAATCCGGTGACCATCGAATACTAGATACGTTGGCATGATGCCCCGTGTATGTGCGGTGGAGTACGAATGGTGCGAACTCTCGGACTAGGTGATTTGGCGTGCGCCAAACTTGCACATGGGAATCATGGGTCACTGCGATGAACCTAAGGGGTGATCAGAAGATGAGAACCATCGATCGCACGAAAAAAAAAATGCAGAGCTCACTTTCCATCATGTGAAAATTGTATATCCTGAACCGGTTTTTGGAAGTTGAAATGATGCAATACCACGCCTCTTTTGAAATTTACTAGCAACGCTCTGCCATCTATGCGAGTTGTTCAGTATTCGCAAGATCTGAGAGCACCCCAACGAACCTTCATCGACAGATACCAGAACGTTCCCATCTGGGCTGAGGGCAATTGCAGCAATATTTTTACGATTCTCGACTGGCAGAGTTCGGGATTTATTGCTTAAGAGTGTCATCCTTCAGCATCTCTCATATACTACATGATGCACTTACTTCACCAAATCAAATACTGATACTCGATTCCCGACAGGACTCAGCAGTGTGTTGCCATCGGGAGTAAAAATAATGTTCCCCTGCTGGTAAACTGTCCCACAGATGTTGGAGAACTAAACAAATGATGAACTTCTGTTTCTGCTAATTGGTACAACGTTTTACCTTGTAATTTGCCTTCATGAGTGCCCAGAACGACGAGCAGGCTTAAAGCAAAAGGCAGTTTGAGGAAGTAATGACACAAGCCAAAATTTGTGGGTCCGACCGAAAAGGAAGTCATGCCCTTCAACTTGAACGCCAACTAGAAATCTCATCTGTACTGTCAGTTTCACAACCATGATCAACCGGCAGATCAGCAAGACCTGAAAGGATGCGCATTTTATCTGTGCGATCAATCGACCACGGACAAGAGCAGGAAAATATCCATGAAGCTCGTGGAGAAGCTATTTTCACTTGCAACTGATATTCGAAGAACACGGCACTGTCGAGAAACCTCCCTCAGCACTCATTAGACGCATCACACGGGCCTCTTGAAAGTCATTCAAGCCCTTTTTGCAGAGAAGTCGGACTTGTACCTCGATCAAATATGCACATGGCTTGCATTTGAGTACGATTTCATCACGAGTCCTGCACTCTCTCGCAATCTCAAAGAAGCTGGCTTGACGCGAAGAGTTCTACGAAAGCTCGCTATCAAATGTGACGAAGCTCGTCGACAGGAATTCAAGAACAGCCTCCAGAATCACTCCATTGGTGATGGCTCCGAGTTTGTTGTCCTTAACGAGACGAGCAAAAACGGAACGTACCTATGCGCGACGTTATTGACGGCAGCAAGAGGAGAACGAGCCACCCTGACTGATGTCTTGAAAGGTACCTCATCTTCTCCCAGCAGGCACATGTGAATTCGGGAACTCGAGAGGCTTGTCGAGGTCGTCCAGCTCACATTGTTCTGATTCAGAGAGATTTTGATTGTAAGTTTGTTGGACTTGTTTTATTTGTTTGTTGCCATAGATGTATTTCAGTGCAAAGACACGGAACAAATACTGTTGTATGGTTGAAAAGTGTTGAGTACACTCTAGGGAATCATGTCCGCTGTAAGAATTCTTAGCCATGTTTGATCGTGACTGGTTCAAGTTTGACCTCAAGAACATGACTAATGGAAGGGACATCAAGTATCAGTAAATATATTTAGGTTGAAAATGAACATTAACACCCAGAGTGCCGTAAAGTAGAAACCCGAGGAATGACTTGGATTTCGAAGGAACATTGTCAGTGTTGACTGTAGCATTATATCGTGCCAAAGTCTTTCTCGCAACCTTTGCCCTCCAGCGTTAGGTGTCTTTCTCGTTGCTCATGCTAGCCCACTGGTGAAATCGCAGGTTCGTCCATTGCCGCCCCCCTCGGACGCTTGGGCGTATACATTGGTCTTTCGCCGAATATGTCAGGTCGAGAAGACACTTGCGAGAAAGCAGTGTGACCATCGCTGTTGGTACCTACTAGTATACCTCCATGCTTCTGTTGACGAGAGATATGACGTTCAGAAGCAAGTCGACATTTGGGATAAAAGATACGCGGGTGGGTATAGCACTCCCTGTGGTGCGGAATTTTCGTTCTATGATGTCAGTGGGAATTGGCAAAAATAGTGCAACGCCACCTACGACAAATGTACCTCGAAAGATCGAGACCTAGAAATTATTTTAGTAATATAGATGTTCGCCGTGACAATATTTGGCTCCTTCAAGCCTCAAGTAGCGGGTTTTGGCCTGTGGCATCGGATCACGAAGTTGCGAATAATGGGCTCTAACTTTAAACTGAGTAATGGATTTTGCAATATCATGATGGTCTGGCCACGCTCCCGGGCCACGCTACCCTCACAACAGACGCATAACAAGTATACGTACTGCAGACTAGAACAGAATCTTGGAAGGCACCCCATATCGGAATCTGGACGAATCTAAATTTCAGTGTACACAAAGTTCATTTGCGAGCATGAACACTGTAATTGTCTATCAGACGGATACCACCGCAGCACGGCGGTAATTAACCAGTGAATGAGTGGAGCAGTGAAAGTTCGGTAGCGTACGCGATTTGCCAAAATTACGCTATTGCATCATAGGTTCTTTGTGCTCCAAGATAACGAAGGGAGCATGCCACATTTCAAAGACTGCATGAAAATTGTCTGCGCCATGGCTCAAACGAAAAAAAGGAATCAAAACATGACATGGCAGCGGGGAACGAACTCACGAGGAACGGTAGTCCGCATCATTCCGGGTCAAGGACTACGTTCGTTTGAAGAAGGTTGTCGCCTTCTGCGATCTCTGAGCGATGTTTTTACATAAAGAAAACTTCCTCCGGCAGCCAGAATGAGGCTACCCCAGCCAAAAGCCTTTGCGAGAAACAAAGTTCAGGGTTGTTAATTACAAGTGACTTCTGCTCGCCACTTACCATCCGTCGACTGAGCATCCCAAAATTAAACCGATATGATGGAGCTTCGCAGTCGATGACGTTATTTCAGAATTTGGGCAGTTGGGTGTAGATCGAGCGCCGGGTGTCACAGCCCACGGACGAAGTGTAAACCAAAGTTAACGTTTGTGGCAAAGACATGCGCGGTGCATGAGTTGTTGCCAGACCGTGACATCGTGTGACTTCCCTTGTAACACCTAAACTTAGTAAGTTGAAACATACTATTCGCCGCTCTATATGTTCCCAACACCAGCATTTACTGGCCTAGCTCGGCTACTTGTCCATTGCGACTAGTTATAGCACGCAGTTTTGACAGACACCAATTTAAATTACCTGTTCGACGGGATCAATACAAGGTTCCGGAGGGCCGTTTCAAGTTGACGCTGTTCAAGTTGGACCTTACTATATGATTTCACCCATCATGTTGCCCATGCGAGAAGCTATCGAAGCTAGTCCGTATTTTTATTCGCTGCACTCATCTCATCTTTGTGCGGGGTATGTCGTCAACGACTTGATAAAAAAAATCTCATCTAATGTCTACTGAAGTTTAATGGTATAAAAATTTGGGGTGCACAGCAAGTCCCAACTATGATAGTCCGGACTACGAATAATGGGACCGACTCGGATGATGCCGTTTCCCATCCTGCCGTGACAGTGTTAGGTTGCTGCATAGAATACCTGATGCATGTGCAATATTAATCAATCGTAACTTACAGTTGCTTCTTGGCGATTTGCAGCCACCGGTCACCCGGTCATGAGCCGTTCCCAAAGGACTTTGCAACACGGACTCCTAGAGCGGAATCGCGTCACTCAGGAACTGGGGTACTGATATTGGCGCTCTTGTAGGCATCAGATCTTACCCCACGCTTTCTGGTGGGTGATAGCCCAAGCCTGTCGCAAGAGGACTGGTAGTATTACCTTCCCGTCCTCATGTTGACAGAATCCGTTATCAGTCGTATCTCGAAGACTGAGATATCAGATAGCAAAGCAGGTGATGGTATTGTTCCTGGTTGCTACGGATCCGGTACATGCACACCGCAGCCAGATACGGTTTCCCTTACCCCACTTACCGCAAGGACACAATCAGTCCACAACCTCCGGGCAGGATTCACAGATTACTGGGGTCAGGGACGATAGCGTCTTCTTAATGTGCTTCGTGTCTGCTGAGTTGATAGCTTAGATGAGGTACGCCATGCGAGCGAAGAGGGATCGTGGGGACCCGGTAATCTGCTTTCGCGCGCTCACAACCCGATTCGCTGAGGTGTCGCCAAAGCTCTTCTCACCAATCTAGTAAGTTCGCTCTACTAGCTCGGTTGTAAAACACGCTGCTGCTTATTGAAGATACGTTGGTTTGTCCCTAATTTCCCAATCTCAACCAGTCAAGATCCGACTTAAGGACAGATAGTCGGAATGTTCCCCGGATCAGTGACAGCGTCGGGATTTGTCATGAACATGACAGTAGCATGTGCCATTTTCCTTCACAACTTTCGTCATTTTTCTCACAAAGGGTTCTCGAAGGCATCGTTAGCCTCTGCGACTCACATGGATTCACGTTTTTTTCTAATGACGGTACCGGTTGTTTGATATTAACCGAAATTTGCTTTGCGCTTTCTTCACGATTTGTCCGCTGACGGTACCGGTTGTTTGATGTATGCTTTGCGCATTCTTCGCGATTGTTTCACGCTTTGATTCCGTAGACGTGGAACCGCCGGCAATTCAGGGAATGTCGCCGACTCGGATGACCCCATCAATCGTGTTGTTCATTTACCTTATCTCCGCAATGGACTGAGAGGTTGAACAAAGGGTAGACCCTTACGATATTTTTTGCTAGTGGAATGTATGCGTCATACACCGAAGTAGGTGAGATTGCGGAAGAAAAAGATAGAACACTTGCCATCAGGCCATCAGCTCGGCAGCCATGCCAGTGTCGTCACGTTGAGTGATTCAAATCCGAGCTTTGAAATCTTAGCGTCATTGGATATCGTGAAGTTGTTCTAGAAATCGAACACGTTACAATCGAACGCATTTAGTTGGGATTGGTGGTCACTTTCTTGGTATATTTTATATTTTATGTTTTACTATATTTTATTCACTTTGTAGTCACTGTCGATTCATTCCTTGAGTGACGTCGAATACCAGTATCGTGGGTCACATATGCTATGTCGGGAAGCGATCGGTGCGCATACAGGCTAGTAAGATGATTATGTGCAAATATAGAAAGTCGAGAATTTCGTACATAATGTCTTTATTAACCGATGCTGTCACACTAACGTAATTTTCTTTATATGTGCGTTGATGTCACTACTTTGGTCGTCACAATAATATATTGCCTTTCTTCCCGTCAGCTATATAAATGTTCTCCTTGCTCTCCCTAACAGTCCTAACCATTTGACGATCCGACCCTACCCTGGCATCGTTCAAAGAATCTCTCCTCTCTTCTCTCAATACATAGAGCCGTCCGTTCCAGCCCATTATCTACAACTCCTAGCCGCCATCATCATTCAGTCACCTCATCCTAACAGTATGCCTGGCGCAACTCCATACATCGGAAATGCCACAAGGATATGGGAGATCAATGTGCACTGGAGCTTGTATTCTCAGTGCGGAATATGGGATCCTAAAGGTCGCGGCGTGGATATTTGGGAATGCATTAGAGCTCGTAAGTTGCCACTCTTCTTTGTGTCTAGCAATCCTCATATGTCCCTTTTAGATGACTCAACCCAGTTTACCCAGGTTCGCTACCAGTGTTGCATTGTCGTCTCCTGTAATAATCTCACCTTTTTCAGCCACCAAATGGTCTTTATTGGCGCTACATCGCCCGCCGGTAACCAATCTATGGTTTTATGAACACTGCCATAAGCCAAACCTTGACACCGTGATTCTATCACGTTACCGCTCGTGGTCATCTGGTACCCACAGACGCCCAACCCAATCTCAGGACTGCGTCATGCCACCCTCAACGTCGCAAGTGAAGGTTATATATCTCCCAGGTATAGGAGAGACACGCGTGGTCACATTGCCTTCGATGAGGGATGTGGAGGGTCATTCATGAATGACATGCATTTTTACGATACTTACTCTTTGCATTTTCTTTGGCTGGTTCCGAACTTCCGCTTCGTTATGGTCACGTTCACCCCCTTTTGTGGTATATTTACTTATTTCGTTAAATCTTCTGGCACAAAACACTTACTATACATGTCTATTCTAATATCCACCGCAATTTTTTTGGGAAGCACAACTACAGGTAGACCTAATAGACGATGTCGTCCCTCCACTACATCCCCAATTTGTGTGTTCCTGGTTGCAGAAAGTGCACGGTCTCCGACTCTCCGTCACCAGGGGCAAAGTGTGTACTAGGTGAGTCGCATCATATTTCTGAGAGTATTGAAACAGTATCTCAGTTGTGCCAAGCCATGATCAGACCCGTTTTCATTGTTAATCCATGTGGCGCATTATCACTAGTGCCGCGTAACAGAGCCTTCCTGTCCCTGGTGACTACCATACTACACCGCGGAGGATGGACCCGTCCCGAAACACATTATGTTAGTCATGCTGTAAATCTGATCACACGTGTTATGCATGTCCGACCACGAGATCTCATGAACGCTAACGGGTTACAGAAGAAATAATAGGGGTGCGCGAACACAAGCGAATTTCTGAAGCGGAAGCACCCTCATTCGCAGGCCAACGATCTACAATTGCCGACGCTATTGCAAAGTTTCGAGTACAGACAGCGAGGCAGACGAAGTCTATCAGAATCAATGTCACTGCGCGAATTGACATCTAGCAGTGGACCCACGCGGTCAGGCTATATTCCCATTTATTCGCCAGAGCATAGTAATATGCACAGGATGCGTACCTGCGATAACAGCATCATCCCCATCCTGCCCAGCGCCTCGATGTGATCGGGTGCGCATGACTTGGTAAACCTCCCATATAAAGAGACGAACGCTCGAAAGGGTAGCCGAATATTCTTGGTAGCGCTAAAACTCAGCCGTAGGGTCCGAACACGCACATCCTCAAATCGTTATCCCCGAACATGGGGTCCTAAAGCCCAGGAGACACCAGTAATAGTCTTGGCCTGTCCCAGATGTGACTAGGAGGAAAAAAACGTTATCGGAAGCCTCATTGCCTTGGGAAATGAAATCATGATAAGTCCTGATTGGGCATGATGCGCCAGGATCACTGGCACAGTCTTGTCCCGGTGTGAGGATATTGTAAGGCCTGCTGCCATCAAAAACATGATGGATCGGAGACCATCGGAGAACGAGGATGACGGTCACAAGGGGCTTTCATTTCTTGACAGAGCTCATCTGTTGGTACCATGGTGTCGTTCACCATGGTACCTCCATGGCACCTGGTACAGGTACTTACTGTCTCCATGTGATGATATAAACTCAGATCTGCGACTCTAGCTTAATCAGCGGCAGCGGGGACGATGAACGATTTTCACTCAGGCACCACATATAGTAAGTACCTCGTCAGCTCATTGAACAATCGAACGACTGTTGCACTTTTCTGATCGTGGGGACGACACGCCTGTAAGTTACCCCAGATTTGTCCTGTCAAACGAACGCCCAGGTGTGCGCAATTTTGGTTGCTAATACTGCCGAAATTTGCGAGTCCGTACAGCCTCGAAGGTAATGTCGGGATGTGTGCATTGACCAAACAGAAGCATCATCGACGGACAGGCGCACAGCGTGACGCCGTGCAGAGCGCAGATTAATTCCGTTGTCGTAATAGAGAGCACTTGCACCCGAAATGGCACCACGAGAAGCAATTCCCACACGAGAGAAACACACTTGGGATGTCTAAGTAATCGTCGCGACCTTGCATAGAGTTCTACCAATGCCGAATATGCATAGGGCGTGTGCGCATATGGGTGTTCCGGCGGGGTATGCGAGAGGAAAGCTATACATGCTTACGTGTTTCATACAGTGCGTCAGTGGGCGTGCCATATGGTTCAAACCTTCTGCATGGATGATTCTCGAGTGCTCACTTAACTAGACAATTCTTTTGTAAACCACCTGAGGGGATGAAGTGACAGGAATGCGGCTCGCGGTGAAAGCTCGGATAAAACTTACGAGAAACCGGCACATTCCTCTGACCCCGACGATGACTCTGATACTGGAGCTATACATGGGTATCCCTTTGTTCAGTACATTGTATCTGGACAATGCGGGGAAGATAAATAAATGTTATGCTCGAAGGTAGGCTTGCATAGCTGGTGGGACATGATACTGGGATAATACAATTCCCATCTCCCATCCTGAACAAGACGACAGCCGACATCACGAACATGTCATTGGACAACAATGGAACAGGCGTGAATTTGCAATCGGCACGTAAGACTTCTAGTGAGACTGATCTATTCTTGCATCACTTGGTTCTTGATGTGATTGCGTCGAAGGCGACGGCGATCGCCAAAACTACACGAGCGCCAGGATGTTGGTCTTCTGTGGTAAGACTGCGTGATGCATAAGTCACGCGCTGCTGTACAACAAACAACATTTACAGTCAGGCTCGGAGATGATGAATCGATAAGATCAAAAGAAGGCCGATACAGTCCAGTCAAACAGAACAGGCGATGCTGGAATTATAATTTTATATTTCCTGGAGAGGAATGAGAAGCAGTAAGTAAAACTCGATATCGCAGGAGGTGGACACATACAGAACTAAAGTCCATTACTTATCACTTGATCACATCACTATCTTCAAACCCGGCAACATCTTAATGTATTCTGTGAGGTGTGACTCGGCGCCCTTGTTGCGGTGTATGGTGAGCCACTTGAGTGGGCATCTGGACCGAGTAACGAATGCCGAAAATTGCCTGTGTGGCCAAGGATATCTATCCGGCGAACAGAAGCGGATGACCAGCTCCTCTAATGCTGGTAGGGTCAGAACTTCGAAAAGGCTACCCAAGCCGGCGCGGACAACATTGACCTCAAGTTGATGGATGCTGTGGTTCACCGTGCCTATCAAAGGGAACGATTGCAGGCCCGTCTGTGGCAATGCATCCGCACATATGGAGGAAACGCTGACCCGTTGAACTTGCGTGCAGAGGCCGATGACCTGCAGAAAAGTAGCACTGCTAACCAGTGCGAACTGTATCTTCAGTTCCAAAAGCTGGTGCCAAGGCAAGTCAATGGAATGCAAAGAGTGTAGATCGTAAGTCAGGGATTGCAAGACCGCAGAACGGAGTCGCGGCATTGGGCTGGGTATGGAGACCAAGAAATTTCCTTTCTGGAAGGTGACCTGAAAGCGTGACAGGGACTGAACAGAGTTATCCAATAAACCTTGGACGGGAGGCCCATGCCACCAAAGGTCAGAACATCGGCCCAGGAAAGGTCGGAGCCATTGTATGGAAAGAGGCTTTTTCCTATCTGAGAGATCCATGTCATGCACCACACGAATGGACAGCGGAACACTGCTGGCTTTTTCTAACCAGCGCTTGTACTCGTCACCATCAGTTGTGTCTGCCCTGAGCAAGGATATGCTTAAGGACGCCCATAATCGAGGAGTGGACAGGGTAACTGCTCGCCAGTGACGGCAGACCCTTGTCAAGACCATTGGGCATTCATCCAATGAAGGTGCAACATAATTTGTCTGGGGAAGACATCGAAGAAATATCTCTCCAAGAAGCTCTGATGGTAACAAACAGCATGCTGGAGATGCCAGGGCTTGGTGAAATTCCAGCGACTCTTGCACAATGGCCCGTTTCTCCTTCAATCTAGCTTGGATATGTTGTAATTTTTCCAATGCACGGTTCAGAAGGTCGATGTGGTCGTCGAGAGCTGCAAGTTGTGACTTTCGCTGCGTTACAACAGTGTGAATGGTTGAGCCCTTGTCGGACGGAACATGACTGGTGGGACGATAAGAGAACGATGTCGGCGTCAACTCGGATAGCTGGATCAAAATACCAGCTTTTGAGTCTTAAAGTGACCCAAACGGTATGATTAGAATTTTCCATACCGGCTCTAAGATGGGAGACTGGGATCATGATGAGCAATGATCACGCCATTGCGACTGATAAGCATCAAACTCACATCTAGCAAATCATTCAATAAATCAGGACTAATCATTTAAAAGTGTGAACGTTGCACGGCGGTATACAAGGGTATATGATGATACTGTACAATTTCAACTTCAAATTTTGCTGGAGAAGTGCTTAAGCCTGAGTATAAGTTATGTAACCAGGCGTGCCACGTTCGTTGACGTTGCAACACGTTGACTCAACAGGCGTTTGAACGTTGAATCAGGTGTAAGTGGCATAACCTGTACAGTGCAATTCTTGTCGTTGATTATTTCGCCAGTACTCGGTTTTGTCATCGCGTGACGGACGGACTCGGATGACTTCTGAAGTGCATCACACAATAGCCTAGGCTATCCGTAGGGCCAGCCTGAGGGTGATCCCGAGTTCATGACCCCTTGCCTGCTCAAGCTACAGTGGTAGGTAGCTTTTTGCTGAGTCCTTGAATGTCTTTTATGTCTCCATTACTAGCTAGTGTGTAGCGACACCGGACATATGCGAGCAGCGATTTGCATCTCACCGAGAGTGTGGTGAAACAACATACTATCCATATATCAATCGATTCGTGTGAGCATTATATCATCATCCATCGGGGTTAACCACACTGCTTTGTTGTCGAAATGTGATGGCCTTGAACTTTTTTGGCCTCGAGCTTCTGATCGTCTCGTCCGCTAGTGCTTGGTTATTTTAGAAAATTCTATACGATCAAGCTCCCTCTCAATAACGTTTGACCAACGGTCCGAGCGTGCCATGTACAGTATGTCACTACGAATTCGCATGGCAACGAAGCGCCCGGAATGCGGGTCTGCAGTCTGATATGTGGTTAGTGCATCCTTATAATACAATACTCTTGACCATTTTTAACTCCTGCAGGGTAGTGTGCCGTTTGTTGCCCGACATTTTGGCTCGGGAAAATCCAGTCGACCAATCTATGTAGAACATTGGAGCATGAGAAGAATCGGGAGGGACACAGCTTGATGGTATTCGTTTAGGGGTGACTTCTCCCCGAGACGAGGAGTTGAACGCTGTTAGAACTCCAATCATGCGGAAAATTATATGAGCGTATACTATGCTTCCTACTCTCAGATCTCATTCGGTCCCTCTGATAGCATCTAATCAGTGGATTCTCAAGGACTCAGTACCAACATTAGAGAGATGAGGCAGGATGTCACATCATTCATGCCCTTAAAAATTATTTCCAGCTTTCGCCTCGTGGCCACGTTGATCGCTGAACTCTTAGGCTGTTTATGTTGTGGTACGGGATGTCATCACGATTCTCGAAGGAGAAGGCTCTGCTCTTCAGGGTTGGGTGGGAGTCACTTCGCTCGATTGGAGCAGAAAACTTCACGTGTATCAGATCGTAAGCCGTTCTTCTCATATGGAAACCTGTCAGGCGGAGCCTCCGAATGTGCCTGCTGATTCTGATTGGTCAGTCACCGTCCCTTTCATCGCAGAAAATTGGCTGAACTTTGATGCATAGCATCATCTTATGGTTTCATCAAAAATTTGCAGCAATATCGTAATGCAAATTATCTGCTTGCGTCTCGTGCGCACCAGTGTGTGGAGTTTCGTCTAGGGTTGCATTCATATTTTCCCCCGGTCACGCTAGGTAGGGGTCGAGACTCTATCATAACGCTGAAGATATGGG